CATTTGACAGTTTTCTTGCTGTGCCAGAACTACAGAAATTAGCAATGATTCAAATCAAGTATTTGCTTGACCATTGCTGGGTTCCGTATTACCGGCAACAACATCTCGATGGGTCTCTTTGATTTTACTACTGTCATCAACAAGCCAAGTCTGAGTGAGCTAATAAGATCGACACTCCTTGATTCCTCTTCTGGTTTTTCCTTATAAACGACTTCCCCCGTATATAAAGAATAATCTGAGCATGAATGAAGGAGGAAGGGGGGTGATTCATAAATCTTGTTGATTAATGAATCGTGTGAAACGTAATGATTAGCAAACTACAAGATATTTCTAATCAGCTTGAAATAAGCCAAATCTAATAATCGAGCGTCTATTCATCAGTATGACTAACCCTTTGTAAGTATGTCAACATACGCATATGCTTAATTTCACGAGTTTATTAATAACTGGTAATGATATTGATTGGATGATTGATCCCTTGAGCATTTTGGATCTTATTCCAGGACAACAAATGCAAACAGCGGTTCAAGATAATTAACTTTAAACCCTAGACTTTCTCAGGTTATGAGTCAAATCCTCAAATGATTCTAGATTCGAGTCCATGGATAAACTTGTTGGTCCTGGGAAGTACTATTCTTGGTGACATCATTTTGTCAAGCACGATGTGTTCAGTTATAATACTGATCGTGTTGCTATTGATATTATTGAGGTTGATAATCATGGTCCTTGTACTTGATAATATGGAAAGTCACTTAGAACGTACCAAACCCAAAATTATGACGATTTTCCGCCATTTGCATGAATTGCCGACCTTGATGATATGACGGTTTCGATGAAAGTGTCCCTCACACCCTGCGTATTATCCAACAAATTAATTTGGACTCTCCTGAATCTAGAATCACGTGAATATTTTACTCATAACCTGAGGGAGTCTAGTTTCTAATGCTAATAATCCTGTATGAAGTATTGTGTCCCTTTCTCTTGTTTAATTCTCGTTGACTATAAGGTACAACAAAATGTAAAATGAAAAATTTTTCAGGAGGGTTTGGTTTCACTTTAATTTTCAAATTATAATTATTATCACGTGACAAGCATCATTCCCAATAGGGTAAGTGCGGCGTTGTAGTATTTAGTATTCCAATTCAATTAGTTAATAAAACCTTCATCAACTTTAGGATCCACAATTAGGTTCATTATTTCATGTTTTCGTTACCCTCTGGAGACGTTTTTTGGGGATTCTAATCTTAGACCCATAACTTAAACTTATATCCAAAAGTAAATAAACGTGTTTCCACATCATACTTTCCAATCAAGTTAAACAAATCATCGCTTCTAAAACAGATAATATCCATCAACAATTTAATGAGTGATAATTATAAGGATGAAACTCATTTATATACCTTTGAATAAATAATAAAATTTGGGGCTATGTCAATTGTCGTGTATTCCAAACCGGGCTTGTAAGAGATAAACTTACAATTCCCAAAATTCATAAGTGGATTGTTCGCGTTTCAATGGATATAGTTTGTAGTTTCCGTTACTATTTAAAACAATATTTAATAAACGAGGCTAAGAAGATTTATCATATATTCTGAATAATTGATATTTAATACCAAATCTAAAGAAGAATAAGAACATACAATAATAACATTCATTAAATTGAAATAGAGATAATGTTTAACATAATTATTACAACTTGGAAGTGTTGTTATAAACTGAATGGGAATGCGCGCGCATTTAGAGAAAACGTAGGAAAAAAAGAATGTTAATTATAAAGGTCGTGTGCTTTTGTTCAATTTACTTGCAANCATTTAGAGAAAACGTAGGAAAAAAAGAATGTTAATTATAAAGGTCGTGTGCTTTTGTTCAATTTACTTGCAAATTCTTTTTTTTTTACATAATAGGCGTGCGTTAAACTACTTCATCTTTTACTTTATTGTCATAACAATTTTTTTTTTTTCTACAAGATCTTTTCTCTCACTCTCTTTCATCTTTATTTAAATAATTTTATATAAACCCATTCAAAAGTATAAACAAATACTTATAACACATCCCCCCCCCCCTTTATAGACCTTTCCATTAAAAGAAAAGAAGGAGATACTTACAATAATATTGTATAAAGTAAAAACATCTTAATAAAGTATCTTGTAATTTTCTTTGTTGTTTTTCTTTTCCATATTCATCTGTTTTTTTTTAACAACCACCCTGTATTATTATTATATTTAATCCATTTGTTTTAGCTGCTTTGATTAGTTTGTTAAGTTAATATTAAGCTGGTGTTATTATAAATTATTGTACTCCATTTTTAAACATTCCCAAATATCATAACTATCCCGATATTTTTTAAGATGTCCAGCGACACTGATAGAAAAAGACCATTGGAATCCAATAGTGGTTCGTCTACTCCTATACTCAAACGAAAGAAGAAACCATTACAAGAATTGAGTGAATCAGGTCCATTAACTCAAGAAGATGTGGTATATTTCCAAAAAGAAGCAATATGGAGACAAATGATTTTATATAAACAACAAGTAAATCAATTACGTCGAGATTTAAAATCATTACAATTTGAATCCAATAAATCAAATAAAGTAGTTAGTGTCCTATCTGGTTGGTATGATCAAATTATTTCATTATTTAATGAAGTTGAAGCTGAAGCTGGAAATGATGTTGGATTATTAATTGCGTTTTCGGAAGATGATGTGGATAACGATTTAAAAACAAAACGAGAAAAGTTATCGAAAATATTAAATCATAAATTATCAATAGCTGATAGTGAAGGTAAAATATCTCAATTATCTCAAGAATTAGCTAAAACTACCAGTACCAATCAACAACTATCTCTAGAAAACAAAAAATTAAATGATAAATTAGATCAATTAAAGGAGAAAGTATTGAAATTAACTAATGAAATAACAAGATCTCAATCAAAGACATTAAAAAGGGTTTATGATATAGCCAGAGCTGAAGAATCTGTTTCTCGTGATACAACTCCAGAAGTAAAAGAAGAAACACCCAATGGAAAACAAGAAGATCAAAAAGAAGCAGAAATTGTCAATCAAGAAGAAACTGATAAATTAATGAATGAATTGGAAGAATTGAAGTCGGCTAATCAAATCTTAACTGAACAAGTGGCCCAATTAACTCAATCAAATCAAGAAATAACAGCAAAATCCCTTGAATTGGAACATAAATTACATAATTTAACTGAATCTGATCTAGATAGTAATATTCATTATAAGAAGATTGTAAAGAATAATCAAGCATTACAAGAACAAATTGGGAAATTATCCAAATTGAATAGTGTAAATATTGCCAAATTAAATGAATTAGAAAAGAATCAAGTGAATATTAAATCAATTGTTGAACAAGAGATTGTGGATGAAAATGAAAATCTTCGTAATCAATTACATAAAAGTGAACAAGATTTAGTTCGAATTAGAACTATTAGAGATGAATTATTATCCAAAAATACAATCTTGACAAGTCAATTGGAAGATCAAAAAACGAATGATGAATTAATGTCTTTGAATAAAGCATTATCTTCAAGAATAGAACTGTTGATTAATGATAAACAACAGGAAATAGCTGGAAGTCCAGAAGATAAATCTCATGAATTGACGAAAGAAGAATTGATCTCGAAAGTCCATCAACTTAATAACGAAATTAAAGAAATTGAATATGCATTTAAATCAACTCGAGAAATCACATTAAAGAAATTGGAAAATTCAATTGATCAAGAAAATTTAGTCAAAAAGTTAACTATTGAAAAGAATAAAGCTGATCAAAAATATTTTGCATCTATGAGATTAAAAGATTCAATTCAACAAGAAAATAAATTATTAAAAGTTCAAATCAATAAATCACAAGAATTGATTAAGAATCTTAATGAATTGGAAAAACAATATTTATCTAAGATTGAAATATTGACTAAATCTTTAACTGATTATAAAATGATTAAGGAGAATTCAATTCAAGAAAATCAGAAATTACAAGATTCAATTCGATCACTAACAACTTCAAAAGAATCATTGGAACAAGAAGTATTAAGAAATAAACAATCATTAGATTCCAAATCAAAAGAATTATCAGAATCACAATCAACAATCAATAAACAATCACTAGAGATCAATAAATTGGAAAAATCATTAAAATTAACCGATAATTTATTACAAAAATATAAAACAAACAATACAAACAGTATTCTTCAAGAAGATGAACAACAATTAGAAGCATTAAGATCAATTGCTAAATGTTCAGTATGTTCTAAGAATTGGAAAGATACTGCCATAACTGTTTGTGGACATGTTTTCTGTAATAATTGTACACAAGAAAGATTGGCTGCAAGACTAAGAAGATGTCCTTCTTGTAATAAAGGGTTCAGTGCGAATGATTTATTATCAATTCACTTGTGATTAGAGGACAACAACAACATCTATATATATATTATCATATAAACCTTGTATACTTTTGTAATTGTAATTGTAATTAAAAATGACATTTTGATATTGCTGGTTAAATAATTCACAAGAAATATTTTACATTTTACGCGTAATTAATTTTTTTTTTAATAATCGTGTGAAAGTTTTACAGAATCCAAGATATTACCCGGACGGTGGCAAAAAAGTAAAAATACTTTTTTTTTCTGTCTGAAAAGAATTTTTACAAAGTCATCCAATTTTCTTTTTTGCTTCCTTTGTTCTTTGAATAGTTCTTTACAAAGGTTTATTGCTATGCTTTTATTCGTTTGATTGACTGTGATGGTTGGTTCATTATGATTTAATGTCATAAGAGATGCTCACAATTGTAATCTAAGAAAAAAAAGCAAAGAAATCTAATGAATTTATAAAGAGAGATCTATTTTATCATTTTCCAAAAAAAGGGGGTGAATTCTTAAAATTGGCTGGCTAAATTTTATTTTTAATATTTTTTTTTTTTTTGTAATTTTGTCTGTCTGAATTTCGTTTTTGTGTCTGGCTCATCACCATCTTGTAAAATTATATAAAATGGTAAATTCCTCCCAAATTCAAAATTCTGCAAAATAGAAAATTTTTTTTGTCTCTTACGTGTTCTTTTCAATTTAATTGGTTGAAAATTGGGGATTTTTACAGTTTATCCTTTTTTTTACATATTAAGATAAGAATTGATACTTTTTACAGGTTAATATTTTTGTTGTTATAAATAAAAAGAAATTTGCACTTTTTTCCCAAATTTTTTTTTTTTTAAAGAATTGAAGAAAAATTCCAAATTTTTTGTTTTTTTTTTCGGAATTTTTACAGAAATTGGGTTACCCGGAATTCTGGCTGCAAAATTTAATCAAACACTCATTTAACTATATACAGGATACTTGTTTACCACCACCCACCACCCACTTAAATAGATAGAGAATCCTATCATTGTTATTATGTCACAGGTTGAAGCAACTCACACACCTGTACAAACACCTTCATCAGAAAGTTTCAGTAAGATGGATGAATCATTAATCAAACAATCACAACAAGAGGAAGAACAATCAAAACAAGTGGAAGAACACTTACAACCACTTTCTCCACCTAATCCATCTCCAACTCCAGAAAAGAGGAAATTGGAAGAAGATGAAGATCAAGAGGATGATCCTGAGTCAAAACGATTGAAAACGGATACTGTGGCGACTACGGAAGAGGAACAAAAACAGGAAGAGGAAGTAGAACCGACAAACGAAGAAGGTGCTACGGGAGCTACTGAATCTGCTCCAGTCGAAACAGAAGAACAGAATCCAGAGGAATCTGCTCCTGTCGAAACAACAGAAGAGCAGAAACAAGAGGAATCTGAGGCACCAACTGAGCCAATAAAACAGGATGACTCAGCAGAACAACAGACAGAAACACCAATACAGGAAACAGCTGAACCTGAACCAGCACCAAAACCAGTCTTCACTGAACCAGCACCCAAACCTGCTCCAGAACCAGATATGAACAATTTACCAGCCAACCCACTCCCACCTCATCAAGCCAAATTTGCCCTTAATATCATAAAAGCTATAAAACGACTTCGAGATGCAGTTCCATTCTTACATCCAGTTGATATTGTTAAATTGAATATCCCATTTTATTATAATTATATCCCTAGACCAATGGATTTATCTACGATTGAACGTAAGATTACTTGTAATGCTTATGAAGAACCTTCACAAATTGTCGAAGATTTTAATTTAATGGTTGATAATTGTAAGAAATTCAATGGGGAAGCAGCTGGGATTTCTAAAATGGCAATGAATATTCAAGCTCATTTTGAAAAACATATGTTGAATTTCCCTCCAAAGGTATTATCAACACCAGTAGCCGCCAGTACTCCACCAGTGGCAAAATCTGCATCACCAACTTCCACCAAAAGAAAAAGAAGTGTGGACGCTACAGCAACCCCAACAACCAGCACCCAACATAGAGACTCGATAGCTGCGCAAAGACCAAAAAGAACCATTCACCCACCAAAATCAAAAGAATTACCATATGATGTCCGTCCAAGAAAGAAGAAATTCGCTGCCGAATTACGATTCTGTAATCAAACAATTAAAGATTTAGTGTCCAAAAAACACTATAATTACAACTTCCCATTCTTGACTCCTGTCGACCCGGTGGCATTAAATATCCCTAATTATAATGAGATTGTCAAGAATCCAATGGATTTGGGTACTATTCAAACCAAACTCGCCAATAATCAATATGAAAATGCCGATCAATTCGAACATGATGTAAGATTAGTATTTACCAATTGTTATCTTTTCAATCCTGAAGGTACTGATGTTAACATGATGGGACATAGATTAGAATCGGTGTTTGAAAAGAAATGGGCTAATAAACCAGTACCAGAACCTACTCCACCAAATTCAGATGTGAGTGATGGTGAAGTATCCAGTGATGAAGATGATGATGACGTAGAGATTAATGAAGCAATGTTGTCCGATGTACCAGCAATACAATTTTTAGAAAATCAATTGATTAGAATGAAGAAGGAATTGGATGAATTGAAGAAGGAACATTTGAAAAAATTAAAAGAACAACAAGCAGCAAAACGTAAGAAGAAGAAGGCCAAGAAGGCAAGATCAAGATCTCATAGGTCTTCTAAAGATCATTCAGCAACTCACCAACAACCACCAAAAATAACCCCACCTGCACCTGTTGTCACCTATGAAATGAAGAAACAAGTTTCTGAAACTGTGCCTAACCTTTCTGATAAGAAATTGCAAGCATTAATCAAAATCATTAAAGATGATGTTGAGATCAATAATGAAGATGAAGTTGAATTAGATATGGATCAATTAGCCGATTCTACAGTATTGAAATTATATGATTTCTTATTCGGCAAGAAATTAAAAGCAGGTGCTAAGAAAAAGCTTACCCCTACAGCGGGTTCAAATATTGATGAATTGGCTCATTTAAGAAGTCAATTGGCACTTTTCGATGGTGAGGGTGGAAGTAATGGAGGAAATGGATTTATGGGTATAACTAAAAACCAAGAATCTTCAGATGAAGATGATGATGATGCTTCAAGTGAAAGTTCTGAGGAAGAGTAGATAATAAAATGTTTGTCTTTTTTGAAATGTATATAGTTTTACTAGGAAATGGATTTGGAGTAATAATAGTATTAGTTAAGTATCTTTCTTTTGTTTTCTGGTGTTTTATGCTGTTCTTTATTATCAAAAATGTATTATAATATATGTATACCTAATTTGTAATAGTTCACTTTCTAGTAGATAATTGAACCGTCTCTGAGAAGGTTTGGAAAAGCTGGTGATAATGAGTATCGCACGACCCTCCTCCAGTATTAGTGAAAATTTTCTTTTTAATCTATAATCCATCTCTATAGTCATCTCAAGTCAAACGTCCCCAAAACAAATGCCAACTCAAGATCACATATCAGACACGATGGAAAGAGTACGAGATCCGGAATACAACCCCCTTTATCTCATCAAATCCGCCAAAGCCAATAATCGGCCAGCGTACATTGCCGGTCCCATGGTCCGATATTCAAAACTTCCCTTTCGTGAACTAGTCCGGTTTTATAAGGCCGATATAATATATACACCCATGATCCTTGCCCGTGAGTTCGTCAGAAATGATATAGCAAGATATTCTGACTTTACGACAAATAGTGCCGATAAGAGTGTTATTGTCCAAGTTGGAGTTAATAATGTAGATGATTTATTGAAGTTTACGGAAATGATTAAAGGACATGTGGATGGGATAGGTATAAATTGTGGATGTCCCATCAAAGAACAAGTGCGTGAAGGTATTGGAGCTGCATTGATGTCCGAGCCGAATTTGGTTGCCGATATGGTAAAGGCTGTCAAGGATAAATATGGGAATGAAATATGCATAGATACAAAGATTCGTATTCATCCAAATATAAATGAAACTAAAGAGTTTGTGGACAAAGTGATCCGGGCAGGTGTTGATTTCATAACTGTCCATGGAAGGACAAAGACTACTAGATCCTCTATTCCGGTCAATTTGGATGCTATAAAGACAATTAGAGAGCATGTAGATGGAAGAGTACCAGTGATTGCAAATGGAGATGGGTTTTCACTTGAAGATTGTCATAGAATTGCAGAATATACTGGCGTGGATGGTGTCATGTCAGCTAGAGGAGTTCTTCGTAATCCTGCGTTATTTGCTGGGTTCAGCAAGACTCCATGGAGTGCCATTGAAATGTTTATGCATTTGACTACTAGTTATGGTTTGCCATTTAGAGTTGCGCAACATCATTTTTCAGAAATGTTGGATGAAATAATACCTCGAGAGTATGTGAAAGAAATGAATGAAACTACTTGTATGATAGATTTGATAGATTGGTTTGATAGATGTTTTGTTTTAAAACGAAAGGGAGAAGTTGGATTTGCAACTGCAACGGAACCAACTTGGCATTTGGATAAAAAATTGGAAAAGTTAACTTTATAGATATAGATTAATATACACTAATAATGATACAGTTTATTTTGCTTTTGATATATATTATGTACACTAATTTACGCTTTGATTAAATCCACAATATCAATATTACCAATTGATACACTTTCAGTCTTATTATTCACCTTATAAATCCCAACCAATTGTTGAGCTAACTCAAACATATTATTTCTTAATGAAATGACAACAAATTGAGCATTTTTGGTTCTTTCTTTAATATAATTGGCCACAATAGAAACATTTCTGAAATCCAAAGCAGCATCGATTTCATCCATGACGTACAATGGAGTAGGTTTATATTGATGCAAGGCAAAGACCAATGCTAAAGAACTCAATGTCTTCTCACCACCTGACAAATTAGAAATATTCTTCCATGATTTCTTCGGTGGCATTACACTAAACAATATCCCTTCTGAAAATGGATCCAAACTATCCACAAGCTCAAGTTCGGCATTACCTCCCATAGTAATCATCCTATACATATCCTTCAAAGTCATTGAAATCGTATTGAACCCAACCATAAATTCATCCAATCGTTTCCTCTTCAAATCTTCGCAATAATCCTTCTTCTCGTCACGCTCTTCAACAGCTGTATTCAAATCGACCTTTCTGGTATTATATTCAACGAGTTTGGTTCCATATTCTTTCAATACTTCAATATCAACTTTGACGGTTGCCATATATTGTTCGATCTCTTTAATCTTATCATCAGTAACTTCTAAATCAACATCACGGATTTCTTCTTCTGTAAGGCTTTCAATTTCGGTACCATTGTATTTCTTCTGTTCTTCCGCGTCAAGCCATAAGATGTACTCTTGAGTATCGCGGACAACTAACGCATCAAGTTCGTTCTTCTTCTCTTCAATAATAAGGTTCAATTTTTTAATATAACCGTTACATTTCTCTAACTTGTGTAAAACCTCGACTTCGAACTGCTTGAACTTATTTATTTCCTCTTGTTGCCCGTCAACCTCGTTCTTTAACGTTTCTAATTCGTCGTCCTTTTCTGTCTTGGAATTATTCAATTTATTGAGCTCGCTTTCTATCTCTTGCAAGCGCTCCGAATTTTCTCGTTCTTGTTTTTGAAGCGATTCCAATTCAACTTGTGCATCGTGCTGTTCTTGGGTAGAGGCTTCAATTATTTTAGTAAGTCTCTTGATATCATTCTCTAATTTCTTAATAGTCATTCTATCCCCAGACGTCTTGTCATGAATAATTTCAAGTTGTTGTTTTAACGAGTCAACTTTTGAATTCTGCATCTTCAATTCCACACCACCTGCATCCATAATTTTCTGTTCCAAGACTTTGATTTGTTGCTCATGAACCAACATCTCTGATTTAAGCTCGGACCGCTCCAATTCCCATTGTTCCACTTCTTTTTCCTTTTCAGCTATTTGCTGTTCAAATGGATTGCTTTGTTCCATCTTTTCTTGTTCGATAATCAAGTTCTTACATACCTGCAGAATCTCCTTCTTCTCCGATGCCAAAGATTGAATATCTAACCTAAGTCTTGATAATGCGAATTCTGTATCCGGTTTAAGATCTTTCAACTTCTTTAACATTGACACTTTTTGCTCATATTCAACATTAGCTTTTTCAAAATTGGATTCCATTGAATGCAATTTCTCTCTCATTTCTTGAAGTTCTTCTTCTGTTAGTATTGGGTCATTTCCACCACGAGAATTGGAAAGTCTCATAGCACCTTTAGAAGTATAATTACCACCACCAGACATTGTACCAGAAGTATCAACCACTTTCCCATCCAAGGTAACAACTTTCCATCTCTTAGCACCATATGCGACTTTCTTTGCTTCGGTTAAATCGGGAGCAACTAATGTATTGTAGACTTTACTGTAGAATGCAGGAGCAAATTTAGCACTTGTAGGTTGAATCAAATCAAATAATCTTTTAACTTTAGCTGGATCACCAGGAGTTTGAATTGGTGCCACGTTGAAATTTCTCAATTTGTTCAAACATATGAAATTGGCATATCCTAACTTGTTCTTACGTAAATAATTAATACATGCTTGAGCGGTCTCTACAGTTTCAACAACCATGGAATCTAATCCTGCACCAGCAGCAGTCGATATAGCAACATCATATTTTTCATCTATAACACCAAGGTCGCCCAATCTTCCATGAAAGCCTTCAATTCTACCGGATTTTACTAATCGAAGTAAATGAGCCAATACCTTGTTTTTATTTTGAGAATTATTGAAAATGTTTGTAGACTCTTGAACTTTTTGGCGTTGCGAAATTAATGAGGATTTCATATTTTCGAGTTTATTCTTCTCGATTGAACATTGTTCCTCGCCTAGACCAATCTGTTCTTCAATTTTCTCTAATTTTTCTTCTGTATCTCTATATTCGGCCTCTTTTTCTTTTCCTTCCTTTTTAATGCTTGAGAGTCTTTCTTTGGCTTCATCTAGTTGTTTGGTAGTACTGTTCATTTGTTGACGAAGAAGCTCGATATTAGATGTGGCCAACTTGATCGCATTGTTTTTGGCTTTGATTTTGTCATTCCAGGGTTCAAGTGTCTTTTGCAAAATTTCAATTTCTTTAGTAAATTCGGAGGTCTTCGCAGTTAAGCTTTGTCTGATTTCATCTAATTTAACTTCTTCAACTTCTAATTGTGAATTCAACTTCTCAACCTCTATTTTGAATTGTTCTGAGGCGTCACTATAATTACTAAGCTTTTGTGTAGAACTACTTAAATTATGTTGCAGGGTTTCCAATGTCTTATTTATCTTTTTTAATTTACTGTTTAGGTTTTTGGATTTTTCTTCCATGGTGACCCCTTTCCTGGTTGTTTCCTTCTTCTGCTTGCCTAATTTATCGATTTGCAGACCAAGCTCTTTAATAGAATCTTCAATAAGCTTTTGCTTCTTCAATTCAGCTTCAATTCCACTTAATAATTCTTGATTTTCTTGCCTTTTCTCTTCCAATTCTTTATTCAATTCATCAGCCTCTTTCTGTGCTATATCTATTTTCTTTTGAGATTCATATATACTAACTTGAAAATGAACACTCTTAGCATTGATCAATTGTTTCTCCATTTCTAAAAATCGAAGGGCTTCTGTCTTCTTTTCCTCCAATTGATTTTTATCCTTCTCAACCAAATCAAATCTATTAGCCTTCTCCATACACACTTCGTTCAATTCTTCAATTCTTTGCATGCTTTCTTCGATTAGAGATTTGTATTTTGTAGTTCCGATAATATCCTCAAGGTATTCCAATAACCCATCATCGTTATCCTTTTCAGCTTTTGCTTTCATTTGAGCTATTGATTCAACTTCGCCTTGTAAAATTAAGAATCTCTTATGGTCCAAGTCAATACCTTGTCCCTTAAGCAATGTTGTCACTTCAGTATAACTGCTCCCTTTCCCATTTATATAGTACAGCGATTGATTGGTTTGAAATGCCTTCCTGGAGATCACCAATTCGGAATTTGGTATCGTCTCAGCCTTTTGTGGTATGGCTGGATCGTCTAGAACCATTTTGAAATGGATATCCACTTGACAATATTGTGGTTTTTCATCTCCTGAATTGTGAATCAACTCTTTTAATTTACCTTGTCTCATTTTCAGTGCTCTAAATCCAAATACAAAAAGCATGGAATCTATAACATTTGATTTCCCACTCCCGTTGGGACCAACAACTGCAGAAAATGAAGAATTAAATGGACCTATGGTCTGTACACCGGCGTATGACTTGAAATTTGTGAGAACTAACTTATCTATAACTAATCGAGGTTCATTGGTTCTCGGTATTGGCAATTTCACTTCTTTTCTTTTCGATGGTGATTGTTTTAGAACTTCATTTTGCTGTTGTGAATAACTAAGGGTAGAGGACCTAATAGGAGACATTGTCAGTTCTATGTCACTTTTATCATCTTCTAGGCCAGTCATATTCTCGCCGGAGTTGGGTTGACTTGTTGAGGCTTCTAACTTGAGATCTGAAAATACATTTTCTCTTTTAAGAATTGGGCCCTCTGGAAGATGAAAAGACGAATCTGGAAGCTTCAGCTCTTCCTCGTGATTTGTTATTACATCTTCTTCGCCATTTTCAACTTTCTCCACTTTGTTCTCTGCTACCTGTTCTTGAGAGTCTCCCTGGTTGTCTTGTTGTGATTGCAGATGAAAAGACATTTCAGCAAGTTTCAGATCTTCCCCGTTATCCAATATTATATCAGCTTCATTATTTTCAATAGGTTCCGCTTCGCTCTTTTCTATCTGACCTTCATCTTCTCCTTGTTGATCATTTGGCAACATTTGTTGTGATTCTGATTTGATTGTGGCAACAGCATCATTAACGGATACTTCTTTCAGGTCATCATAGTCGCTATTGTTGACAAACGAAGATTCATCTTCACTCCCGGATGCAATAACTCTCTTTCTCTTCATATTGTATTTAGTACCTAGTCACAATAACAAGACCTCTCAAAGCATAAACATTCAACCTGTAATTGACAATAAAGTTTTGGGTTAGATGCGATTTTTTGGCGCGTCGTACACGACCCAATTTAAGCTGTAAACACCAAGTTAAACTGTAAAGTGGATTTTTAAGCCAATACACCAATGAACCTACGAGTTACTATTCTGAATTTGTGTCAATATCTATCAATGATTGATTGTCAACAGTTAGTTGAACACAGGGCCATAATTCCATGATTAATTTTTGAAGATCCCTTTTTTGTCATGTTAAAAAGCAGCTTACCATAAAAAAATCGACATCAATAGTTCAAGACTCGCCCGGCTCCGTCTTGTTGTACTAGTTTTTCTGAGTGGGTATACGAGCCTCTTAGATGATGGCTGTGTCTTTGAAACCGACTTTCTGAATTGGATATAGCCAAATTCTAAAATATGAATAATTGAGCACGCTGGACGCGAGGTGATTTCACCCTTGTTGGAGATTACGAAATATGTCCCATTGCTCTCTTTAAGTTGTAGATTATTGTCCAGGGCAATTGCGAATATTTATAAGATATCATAATATATATATTGGACTTGTTTGAGTGCAAATGCTTGACGTAACGCATATTCCTCGTATCCCGAACTTATCTCCGCGAATTGCCTAGTTGGGACAATTTGTCCGCTCAATTTTTGACAGAATTTGGCAAATTATATGTACAAATATATGGGGATCCTGATCACTACATTACAAACAAGACTTAGGAAAATCTTCTTGTCCTGGGACACTCGATTACCGGAAAGGTTGAAAATGGTCTTGTGTTCCGGAAAACTATAAAAAGTCTTTGAGAGAGGAAATAAAAGTAAAGCAATGATAGAAATATCCATATAAACGGAAATTTGTATATCTGTTTTAAATATTCTGCCCTCTGATCTCGCAATGCAGATTCTCAGTCTCGTATATTACTGTACATGGTACTAACTTATATGCTACATCTTTAAATTCTTCCATTTACAAATTTTTTGGGCACCTAACTAGGTCCGCCTTCCTAATATGAAAATTCAATCGCCAGTTTTGTCATTATATTCAATCCTTACTCTTTTTCTTCTTTTCGTTCTTTTCCTTTTTGTGTTTCTTGTCTTTCTTCTTGGACTTCTCTATATCTTCCTCATCTTCATCAACTTCCTCTTCTTCATTGCCGGACTCAATTCTAGTGGAAGCAGCTTCTTCTTCAACTGCAACTTCTTCCTCCTCATCCTCGCTAAATTTTATTTTCTTATTTGGTGGTTCAGATGTGTTTTGTGATGTAGATGGAATAGTGGCTTCTGCTGTTATGGGAGGAAGACCTCTCAAATTTCTTTGAATTCTTTTCAACTGACTCAAAATAGCACTGACATCACTACTTCTAGATAATCCTGCGTAATCTTTGGATTCAATACCATTTGCATTGGCATCACTGGCATTAATAAAGTCTGTTATAAGTCTTTCAGCATCTGATCCGGTTATATTTTGTGATTTGTTCACTCTAATTGTAGTTGGGGTATTTAAAGAAGATGGAATGACTCTTCTGCTTCTATATGATGACATTGTGTATAGTTTCTATTATTTGTAATGGAGTATAAATCAATCTACTGGGTCGTAGCAGTAATGAAAATTAAATCTTTAGAGATGAGGTGAGAGATGACAATAGATAATTTTTCATTCCATAATTTACACGTAAATATCAAAGATAAGCGTATATTTCGTCACCAACTAAATGAATGAAAAAAATTAATTTTCCAAAACACTCTATGTTAAATTACGATCTATATCCACAACTACACTCGGTTAAACATAGACACAACTTTATACAATGTTTTCTGGTATCTTAAGACTGTCAGTTAGAGGTCTCCTTAGTGGGTCCCGTTCCATGATGAATCCTTCCATAATATCTACAGGAACTTCGAACATGCTTCAATCATCATCCTCAACCATGATTCCATCCTCAATCCAATCACCAATGCAATCTATGTTTGGCTTGATGCAAAAGAGATTCAAATCAAGAGGTAATACTTATCAACCATCCACTATCAGAAGAAAGAGAAAATTGGGTTTCTTGGCTAGACTTAGAACTATAGGGGGACGTAAAGTTCTTGCAAGAAGAAAAGCTAAAGGAAGATGGTATTTGAGTCATTGAGATATATATATCAAAACTAATAGAGATTTAAAAGTTATTACTTGTACATATAAATTATTCGAATATTAATATACAAAATATATTGATAAATAATGATACTTATGCTTTACCTAACATTTTGGAATATTGCAATTCAATTTCGTGAATTAATCGTTGTAAATTAACAATTGCTAATTGATGGGTAGCATTGGGGAATTGATTTCTATGTAAACCAAACCATTCTAATGGAGGTGTTGCATTTCCTAATTCTTTAATTTGAGGTGCTTCTATAATTGGAGGTGCGAGAGGACTATACCTATATTTCGAGGAACTCTCCACTTTTTCAATCGTTTCTCTAATTGCATCATCGATCTCTTGTGATGGTCCCGCTGCCTTTGTTAACTTATCGTGATTTTCATGCTCATTGAATGATTCCATCTTCTTCCTATAATCAAATCTTGATTCTAGTGCCTTTCTGTGAATTGAATACATCTCTCGTATAAAATTGACCGAACCTAAATTCCATCTAATATCAACTGTACCATCAAACGTAGATTGAAACAAATATTCAATTAAGTTTTCATTATACTTCTGGAACGTCCTCATGGAAATCTTAAACGATGGAAATACAAATATCCCACCACCATTGGCCTTATGTGCATGTTCGACAAACTCAGACACTGAACATTCATTTATGAATTCTTCCAGAACTGTTTCTAAGACTGACAATGAACTTGTTAAATCATTAAATTTTATATCTAATTCATTGGAAATACCAGTAGAATATTCATTTTGTTGAAACTTGGCACGTGATTTGTCAAGTTGAATCACCAATACTTTTGAATTATCAAATGATGATGGATATATGTGGATCAAAACTTTACCTGCGGAGACGTGAATCTTCGTTTCCAATTTCTTTATTGCTTCTTGCCATGTATTTTCTGACATATCCTTCTTTGGCTGTGATACGGGTATTGGTGTTGATGATCTACGGGAAGACGATAAGAATATACCTCCCTTTGATGAGTCTCTAAGTGTCTCTTTATATGACCTTCTATTTTCTTGCACCATTCTTAAAATTGCGTTCTGAATATCCAAAAGAATAGACTGAGTCAATGATGTAATATAAACTTCTGCTGTATCAAACTTTGTAGAAACAAATAAGTGATCTTTTGCAACAGAAACGTCACTCTTTCTATTATACACATCCATAGCAAACCCTTCAAAATTAACTAATGCAATAACATGATAATCAAACGAGGTCTTCAATTGCAATTTCTCAATACCACCCGACACCAAAATCAACGGAACATCCAATGTAGTTCCCAGGCTCAATAATTCCCAACAAATAGCTGTATGAAGATTGATATTTTCAATTAACAAATTCCCCCCTAATCTACCTTCGGATTTTAATGTAATTGAATCAATTCCAGTTTTCAAATCTTGAGACCAATCTGTGGCTTTCTTAGATACTGCCCAGAAGTTATTCACGTCCAATTTAAAATTACCCAACGACTGGCCAAAATCCACTCTAACGCATGCATTGGAAACTAAAAATGTAACAATCCATGGGAATGCATACGTAGTTGAAACTTCCCTAAACCTAGATGAAATATTCTTATTGGCTAACAATTGTGAGTCCTTTGGTTCATCACTCTCAAATAAATTCGAATACTGTTCTTGGTATTTCTTAGGAAACCAAATATCCTTAAATAATTCCACATCTTGATATTGTTTAACATTAATATAACAATCAACGTCGGTAAAACAACCAGCAGAATACAAACTTGCTACCTCTTCTAACTCAAATGCACTAGTTAATAAAATTCTTTCGATCCCAGTGGAAGCACTAATCTCCCTAGAATAGATGTGTTGTAAAGAAGCCGAAATACGATCAAACAATACCGACATTATAATTCCTTTAGAAGGTTGTACATCATTGCTGTTGACTTGGATAAATAATCCGTCAATTCCCACTACAGCAGCAACTCTGGCTGTAGGTTCACAACTTAATGAAAGTGCTTGTTTCTCTATCCTCATTCCAAAATGAATTTCCATATCTTTCAAAATATCTTCAAAAAATGTTGTATTGGGTTCTTTAGATTCAACAATTGCAGTGACATCTGTTATACCTTCGATATTTATATCTGCCTTATTCCTCATGAAGGCTTTCATCCCAGTAATCATGTCAGCAACAACAGGAACACATCTCGGATACAAAGTATTCTCAGAAGAACTAGTCACTACTTCACCCTGTAACACCCTTTTTCTGTCAGCTTTCTTTTCAAGATATCTAAATGCCGCTTTCACTGCAGGAGAATGTAAGAACAATGAAGGTGCTTCTGTAGTCTCTTCGTCATCTTGTAACCGATATAATAACACATTTGAACCAGCAAAAGTGGCAGTAAAGTCAATAGATGCATATTCTGATTGTAAAGAGATTGTCGTGTCAGATCTTGTGGTTTTACTAGGATTTACTAAGGTCTCTTTCTTAAACTTGGCTCTTTTTTCCAAATACTGCTGCACTTTAGTACCCAGCTTTGCAATTTTCTCTAATATCACTACTGAAGTGGACAAGAACTTCACATCTAATTCGTCACCATGCATTGCAATTCTAATATTTTCATTTCCACTAACTCTTTTATCAATGGCGTAAGATAATTGAATGGTAGGTAAGAATGCTCTATTCAAATTTGATTTTTGGGATGTGGAACTATAGAAGTTGGACGACCTAGAACCATTGGCAACGGACACATACCCTTCCATTAATGTAAACTTACCCAATCCTTCTTCAGTTGCAGCAAAGAATCTTTCTGCACCAACTATAATACCAGGATATTGATTTTTTCTATCACCGTCTTCAAAAAATAACCAACCAGCACAAAAGTTGTATGAAAGGTATTGAAAAGCTGAAATACGAGAATATACCGCGTCAGCAATGACAGATCTTGGAACAGCTTCAGGGGTAACCTTCTTCTTCTCAAGAGCTTCTTCGGGTATAAGCTTGAGAAGTTCATCCGCAATAGAAATCAATTTAAATGTAGTTGGTTCTGAAAGGCAAACACGGCAATGCTGTGATTCTAACTGTAAAGTTTGACGACTATTCGCATCATTTTCGGAATCATTCAATAATCTAACAGTCATATTAACATCCATAATATTTGAAACTCCAATTGGAATACTTCTATCGAGTAGTGATAAACGAGCAGTAGGAATTTCAATCTCACCATATAAAGGAACTTGACTATTGACGTTTGCACCATCAGGATCATCTTGGTTTGGCACATTGGCAATGTTAAATACTCCCATTGTAGATGATTCAATCTCAAATGATAATTTTGCTTTGTTAACGAATGTAGAAAGACCAGCATACCCATTTGAAAACTTAAGTTTAAAGACAACCTTACTCATATCTGTCTCTTTCCCTGATTTCACTTCTTCCACGATACTGTCTGTTTTAAATAAACCAACAACGTGATCAATTTTCTTTTGGAGGGCTGGTAATTCTTTCTTTACTTTCTCTATAGTTTCAATTAAATTTGGACAGAATGCACGTGAAGACGCCGTAGACATGGTTAATGCCAACAAAATCAACTCATCTAAAGTTCCTATTTCTAACAACAATCTTAATTCTGATCCATTCATATCTAGAATGTTGAGCCTATGGACGTCAACACGACAAGCTGCTCGTTTCAAAGTCGATTCAATAAATACATCATGATTATGCCTTTTGGATACTGAAACATGTTTGTCAAAAAATGTTCCTCCTATAATGAATGGATTCAATAATTCAATACGCCATTCTACCTCCTTCAAGTTCACGTTGGCAGAGATTTGCCCTAGTCGATCGATTCTATAAGCTTCCTTCTTTGGTAAATCATCGTTAGTTTCTCCTTTTGAATCTGGTACAATCAATTTTATTAAATCTTGGATATATTTAACATCATGCTTAACTATCTGCTCCATCATCTGCGGGAATTTTCCATCTTTATCTAAAACCTGTAATGCTATCTTATCCAATCCAAAATCAAAATGAATCGAATCCTTGTTGGTAATTGTTGTCTTGCTGAGAACCCAATTGAGCCCATCAATACGATTATTAAAGACGTGATGGGTCGATTGCCATATATTCCACTCAAAGAAATTTGAAGCAAACACATTCAGAAACATCTGGAAGTTTAATGAAGATTCAAACCTAGACAAAACATCAGCACCTCTAAATTCAAGCGAAATGGTAGGTAGTAAGATTTGTTGATTGACATGACTGATTCTAGTGATTATGTTAGCTCTTGACAAAATTGAAGCCTTTGATTTGGTGTTTATCTTCTCTGTATTGCTTTCTATTTCAGAATTTTCAGATTTGAAGTGCTTAAGCTTATCCAACGTTCTCATTGAAATTTTACTCTTGTACTCCATCAAATTAAAAATAACATCAATCTCTTTTTCAATACTTAAATCAATATTGGTCGTCTCTCCAAAATTTGTTGAGACAGTTAACCCTTCCAATCTTATATTATCGGCGTCACCACTTTCGGAGATAAGATTTGCAGAAACTTCAGATACAATAAATTGAAGATTTGATTCTTTGGTAATGGTTTGCAGCAATAACTCTTCCGGCTGTATAAATATTCTTCTTAACATATCCAATCTTTCTTCGTGGTTAGCTTCCCAAGTTCTCCAGTTTGAAAATATGGCTACAACCTCCCCCAATGCATTGTCCGGTAGAAATACATCATTCCTCTTCAATAGATTATTATTCTCTGAATACCAACTTTCAGGAAGGGACATCAATATATGCCGAAGTTTTGCAATCACTTTCCAAGAATCGAAAAATCTCACATGTTCTTTCTTAGCTCTCAATATATAGGCTGGTCTGGTTAACACATCTGGATCATAATCAATACGATAATCTGCTGATGCAAGTGAAAGGGCATGGACAAGCTTTGCTTTTGCGTCATTCTTACGTGGAATTTCCGAAAATTGTTTGATAGACTTGAGACATTTATCAGCAGTACTCTCAATGGTTTTCACCAACCATTCCACTTGATCATCCTGAATTTCCAAATCGATCAGTAAAACATTCCCAGATCCAACAGAGCCCCTATTATCCGTTTCTTGCCAAAATTCTATATCTGTAATATTTAATAATAATGCCGGAGTTACCGATGATGGTTCTACTATTGAACATAGAATGTCTTTAATATGGAACGCAACTCTAGAATCCTCGGTTACAACTGATTTACCATCTTGAACATCCTTCTCTGTTCTATTAGATGTGGCTGCTGATAATCCAGATATTGTTACATCAACAGTTGGATGTTTCCTAATTTGTTCGACGATATCTTCATCTTGAAAAAGTTCAAAATCTCCAAAATTAATCGTAATCTCATGATTGACCAATCTTAAATTCTTAATTTCTTTGCTTGTCTGCATAAGTTCATTCAAAGCTTTTACAGTGGCAACATCAAGTTCGTCCATGATAGTATCTAATGAAAAATCTAACATATTACTGAAGACCCCACCTGTAATTGCTATGGAATCAGGTGAGAGAAAGATGTTGGTATCACCTAATTCAATTATGAAATTATCATATTCAGTCTCAGGATCCACTTTGTATGACGGGGTAAAGTCTTCATCATCATAGTTAATAGTTGGAGGCATTTTCTCGGGATATATATTTTCCAATGAATTCAAACTACTACAAGCTGTGTCAAGTTCACTGTCCGAATGAGGTTCAATATCTAGATTTGAATGTTTTGATACATTTATAGTTGATTCATTAAGTGGAAGTGAAGCTTCCGGGAGTGTTAAAGTGGTTAAAAAGCATCCTCGTTGATTGTTATAAAACTCATTTCGATTCTCTTCAAAAATAATAAACGGAGCTCGATGGAACGGAGCATCACTATCTCTAACATGATATTGCTGCAATCTTCTTCTTTCAAACATATTTTTCTTTTGACAAATATTACTGAACACCAATGACGTCTTCACAAATGCTAGTATCTTTTCAATTGAATCGGTCTCCTTGACAACCTTTGCATAAATCTCTGGAATTGAAACCATAACCTTGCTCGAATATCGGCGATTACCAACATCATTAAAACTCAACAACAATTCCTTCAATCCAATTTCAATATACTGGTTATCCTGATCCATCAACTTTATAGTTATACCTGGACATCTGAATGAAAAATTCGCCATATCGTGAACAGTGGGTAAACTAGGCTCCAATGCATTCTCTCGATCATGAAATCCTACAATCACATTCGATACTGAAGTCCCTAACGCTTTCAAAAATAATGGATCGGCATTAATTATTATTTCTCCACTGGCAAAATCCCAATTACAAAAAAATGTCAATTCTTCAGGAGGGATACCAAACATTCTATGAGTATGTATACTGAATCCGTCAATGTGCATGTGAATATCTGAATGTAGGTATAACCTTGAATATTCTTCGACAGTGAATAGTGGGTCATCCTTACCATTGATGTAATCCTCAACAAATACTGCTGAAGCAGGACTGAAATCAGCTTGCATATCCATATAATAATTACAGAATCGAATATCAACATCCAACATGTCAAAATTAAGTCCAATGTGTGATTTGCAACTATAAAGATAATATGGGAGTAATATAAGTCCATTTCTAACTTGGAATGTAAACATAACGTCAACATCATTTTCCGTTTTAATCATTTTCCAATAATTGTCTTGTGTAGAATCTTTTGATTCATATCCCGAAGATCCACTATCATCTGAATGATTGGCCGAACTGGTATATTCTTCAAATGTCTTAAAATTAATAAAATCTCCAAAGTAATTCTCTCTGATTGTAAATAAATATCTTACAACAAACCCATATAGTTTCAAACTAACATCATCACCAATACATTTAATTTCAATATAATTTGAGGTATTCACTTCCACGGAACTGAAAAACGTATAACTACCATCAACTCTAAAATGATTACTTCTACCAACAACATTAGATTCCTTCATAAAAGCATTCACGGTGTGCCATGGTGGAGTGTCTAAAATAAGATCGAATTGTGGAGTATTAAGATCAAATGGCACTGTTGAAGATTTAGAAAATATTCCATTAAGTGGTAATCCTATATTACAATTAATCATTGACCCTTGAAATGAAAGATATTTGTTATTGCTAAAATCCAAAGGATTATTAATAATATTCAAGTCATTAATATTAAGATATAATTTATAATTGATAATTTTCCAATGAATATTGTAAACAAAAGGTCGGAAATATTCATAAGGCTGTGTTTCTCCGGAGGCCCAATCTGTAAATAAATCAGAAAACAATAATGTATGTTCCCTCAAAAAGAATAATTGTCCATTTAAACTAGTTTGTTCAAAATCCCAAGTACATGGACCGTTCCATTCCAATGGGAATCCAATCTTTGCATCAATTTCATGAGATTCAGCAATGAATAAAACATCGTGGTTGACTGATGATCTTATTTCCGGTTCATTAAGTATAACTTTCAATCTATTCGGCCATCCTTCTTTTGAATTAGCCACAAATGAAGTAAATGATGAAATATTCGACCCTTCACCGATCTTAATTTCTAACCATCCAAATGGTCTAGAAGCTGTCCTATTTTGTAATCCAGTACCACCACCACCACTACCACCACTTCCACTAGATTTAAGAAGTTCTTTATCTTTACTTGGTTCACGTGTAGGTATTCTAACTATTACTTCATCCTTAACTATCATAGTAACCTTGAATCCTTCATAATCCCGCATTTTACCTGGTTCTAAAAATCCTATTGTTGGTTCTGAATCTCTTGCAAGTGGAGGGAAAAACATATTTTGTAATGGAACTCGTTGACTATCTGCCCATGGACCATAATGTATTGTTCCCATTGATACTTCAATCTCAACACCATGTTCAGGTGCAGCAACTGGTATCCTTGATTCTGACAATTCCGAATCTGGTTGTATACATGGTGAATCATAGTAGTATATTATTCTGGTTGCTAATGAATCTAAGATCAAACTGTATTTAGCATATTGCTCATCTGAATTCAATATAGCTAGCACTTCCGGATCATCTCTCTCTCCAGTATATCTCTTTAACCCTTGCCAATCTAATGCCGGTAGCTGATCGGGACCCTTTTTCTTTTTCCCTGTGAATATTCTGGCAAATTTATGTGGAATAACAACCATTGCACGTTGAAATTTATACCAAAGTTTATATTTCTTCATATGAGTAAGATTAATATTTTGATTTGCAGTTGGTTTATTATGTAAGCTTGCGCCATATCTGAATTTATCATGTTTAATATTTGGTCTCATCCAAAGTTGGAAATTATCAAAAATAAAATCATTGATTAATCTATAAGGATCTATCAAATTTGGTGATTTGGATATATCTATTACACCTGATGCTACTTTGTATGATGCCACTAAAATTGAAGGGGTTGTGATATTACCCATGACTATTGCTCCCTTTTTCACTTTAATCAGGACAGGAAAGAATTGTAAAGCGAAAGATAATGAATAAGAACTGGTCTCTTTACTCTTATCTTTAGGTTCGGGTGATGTATGCTTGCTTGATTCGTCATTATTATTGCTGTCACCATTTACTGTTGTTCTTTGTCGTAAAGTTCCATTCTTTAAGTCTTCTGAATATGTACTAGAAGTACTAGAACCTGGAGATTGATTTTCGCTATTGTTATTTTTCTTCTTTTCTAATATATCTATTATATTATCATAAGCCATTGTTCTATTATACATGAAAATTTCCAAACCTTCAATAATCATAAGGAATCTCAGTGGGAATTTCTCATTCTCTTGAGCCGTTATACCAGCAGATTCATAAAGATTTGAGTCATAAAAATAATATGATAACCTTGTTAAAATTAATAACCAATATCGCCAAGTTAATGTTAAATTTAATATTGAAATTGTCATATCCGATGTCATTATTGTTAAATTCTTAATGAATAATCTACCACCTAATGGTGATACCTTCAATGATTCTATATTGACTCTTATCTTATAAGTATTCCATAATGCAATTTTAAATAAATATGAAAATATGATTCCTATTAATCGATGGAAATAAAATATAAATGCTAATGCTACAATTAAAGTTAATACCCAATCAACCAAATAAATCCAAAAGGAATCCTTAATGGTTGAACTGGATGTCACGGAGATAAACTGTGACTGGAATGCCACCATTGTCTGTTTGTCTGTCTATCTGTCTCTGTATCTGATTCCTATCGTCGTAGTGCTTGCTACTTCTCTGTCGTAATTCAAATCCTGCGGTTTTTTACAACCAATTCCAGACAGAAGACAAAAGAGGCGCGTGTTGTAAAAAGAAAAAATTAAGTTGTGTCGCGACAGAAAATAAAAACAAGACGCTAACAATCCAAACCCTACCAAAACAAAACATAAACAAACTGAAATTCAACAACAACAATTCTTTTCTTTCTTTTATTTCCTTTCTTCCTTTTAAACATTAACTACATCTAAAGTAAAACCCAAGATGTCTGGACGAATTATAAATCAGATTGATCAAGAGAATAATGCCAATCATATAAACAGAACTAAACCCAAACAATCCAATGAGAATATCAACATCCGTACCAAAGATAGTAATCGACCATCATCATCATCGGCATCTAGAATAACCAGAATACCACTTGGAGGAAAGAATACAAATAACTTATTAACCTTAAATAGATCTAAATCATCATTAGTTAATAAGATATCAATTCCTTTAAGACAAACTACGACAAATATTAAACCACCTGCATTAACTAAATCAAATTCAACTTTAGGATTTGCACCAACAAAGCCAACTGTCCTACTTGATGATCCACAACAACAACAGCAACGGCAACGGCAACAGTTAGTACAACTACAACAACAACAACAACAGCAAAATGAATTAACTGATGTGTCTAGCAAAAGACCCATATTAGATTCGCTTAATGAAGATTTGTCATATTCAAGAGTTAAACGATTGAAAGGAGACCAATTTTCCAATTTTACTGATTCATTACCGAAACAAGACACAGAACCTCAACAACCAATAGAAGCATTACCACTGACATTTACCAATACTACCGATCAACTCCATGAATCTAATTTAGTAGAACCCGATGATATAAACAAATACAATGTCGATCCAATTAAAAAAAGCTTGCATACTAGACGTCATCTTGAAGCACAATTCGATCAAGAAATTGAATTTGCTCCTAATGTGAGAGAACCTCCTATTTTGCATGAACCAATTGAACCATTAAGTGAATCAGATTTACTTTTCTTTTCGACTCCAAAAACAACCTCGTCCAATTTCTATGAATATCCTGATATTATAGAAGGGGAAAGAATTCTTAATGCAAGTGTTCCTGATCTTTCTTTGGAATTGGACTTGGATGATGGTATGATTATGGAACCGGAAACAAAGAGCAATGAAGAAGATATTGCATATGCTGTTAGCATTCTTGAGAATGAAGAATTAGGATTATCTAAAGATGAGCTTAATGATTTATTAGATTAAAAACTTATAAATAAGTGTATAATTACTATATATTAAGGCCAAGGTATTTACAGAATCTAGATTTATTTTTTATTGGAAAGTTTAACTATTGTGGAGTACATTCTGGTTCAGCATACCCATTTTGTTCATATGTATTATCGTGACCTCTAGCATGACCATTAGTATCATGTTCTCTTTGTTGTTCATAAGAAGGTAATTCATTTCTATTAATAATTTCGAAATCGGCATAGATTTCAACACTTGCGTCAGGTACAGCATGAGCTTTCAATTCTTGCTGCTTTATATCTGATTTATTTTGAAGTTCAGTAGGAAGGATATTCTTTATTTTCATAATATCATTCTTTTCAACATACCAATTATCAGTTGGGAACTCAATTTCAATTTCAACATACATATCACCTCTTCCAAATGTAGAAGAATTGCTACCAAACCAAGAACTAGATTTCTTATCTAATTTTGGCATACCTTCTCCTTCTAATTTCAATAAATCCCCAGGTCTAATAACTTTCCCCCTTGGAGTTGCAATTTGAATTCCTCTTCCATCTAAATGTATAGCAACAAGTTTTGAGAATCCACATAATGCATCAACTAATGGAACTTTAAATTTAGTAAATAAATCATCACCTTTTCTTTCAAAATATGCATGCTCTTTACAAGTATAATTAAGTATGATATCACCAGTTTCTTTACCTGGTGATTGATCAGATTCACCTTCTTTAACGATTTTGCCTGTATTTGGTGATCCTTTTTCAATTTCAAACTCTAATATCTTAGTTTCTTCTATTATTCTCTTTTCACGACATGTCTTACATCTATCTTTAGGACGATGGATTTTCCCACTTCCATGACAAGTTGAACATTCAACAATCTCTTGAGTCATCAACCCTGGTCCCACTCGTCTTATCTTTTTAACACTTCCTTCACCTTTACATCCAGTGCATGTCTTTAAAACCGCTGATGGTTTAGCTCCTGTTCCTTTACAAGTTGTACAGATTATATTACGAGTTGAAGTAGTTCTAATAGTTTTCCCCTTATATAAATCCTCCAATGTCACCTCAATTTCAATATGTCCATCTTCTGTTCTATTTGCTCTTCTTGGTCCACCGTGTCCATTAGGTTGTTGATTCATATTATTGAAGAAGTCATAAAAGTCATTAGCACCATATTCATTACCACTACCACCATAAAATTGTTCGAATGGATTACCGGAATATTCATGTTCATGATGATGTCCACCAAATCCATTCCCACCAGTAGTTCCATATCGATCATATTCATCTCTCTTATGTTCATCAATCAATATTTCATAAGCAAATGATATTTCTTTAAATTTAGCTTCGGCGATTTCTCGTTCTTCATGAGTTGCTTTATCAGGATGATATTTTAATGCAAGTTTTCTATAAGCTTTTTTAATTTCTATACTAGTAGCACTAGAATCTAGTCCTAATATTTCATATAAGTCTTCCATTTAATCCTTTTTTAAAGTCTGATATGTTACAAAGAAGTTCTTCTATATTGCAAAGAAATAAAAACTTTTTGCTTAAGTAAACAAAAGTCACCGAGAAAAACAGAAAAAAAAATTATTACCGAATAAATTTGATGACGATGAGTAAGCGTATTCATATCAGTCAATCTTTCCTTTACAACCATATAGAATCTAATCAAAATTGTAGAGACATGATCTCTTCTCTAGTGACTACATGCATTTATATACCAAGACAATATATTTGTCTCAACAACAGATAGATGTCAAATCATGACTCCTCGTCTCCACATTCACTCTCAAGCTGATCCAATTCTCTAATTATTTTTTTTGCCTCCAAAATTTGAAACCATGAACCCTAAATTAGCCAAAGTGGTCCAGTACTTTCTAAAACCCAACAAAAAACAACATATTTCAATCCCAATTAACATAACAAGGTCCAAATTATCAAAAAATATAGCTATATCGACACGAGCAGGGTTCGAACCTGCGCGGGCAGAGCCCAAAGGAACCTGCATCCTCCGCCTTAACCACTCGGCCATCGTATCTATCAAATTCCGGTTTCGAACTCGAGACCCCGAAAATTTTTAAAATCTGGGGACACGAGTCGACCAAAAATCGCTATAGATAATCAAAAAAATTTTGCAGTTTATGTTATTGTGTAAATCGAAAAACCTTTAAACTCGATTTCCTCGCGATTGAATAGTTCAAAATGAATATATTTACTGTAAAACTATTTATGGAAATCAGTTCTACAAACTGGAAATAAGCAATTATGTTTTAGTTTTTTTTTGGTGTAGATAAATAGGATTTATTTTTTGCATACATTTTGCCTGGCCCGTCTCAGTTATGGCCTATTTTTTGCACCAAAACAAACATTTTTGTTTAAATTCTTGTTGATACTATATCTTAGACTTTCTGGCAATGAAGGAGTCTAATGTTTTGTAAATTTTAGAGTAGATTTTCTAAAATTTTGGGACCTTGAAATTTTTTGTTCAAATTTCGGGAAAAATCTAACCAATCAATTTGATTCTTCCTTAAATTTTGACATTTCCAAGAAATAAAAAAGACAAATCGACCAAGCATGAGATTTGATAGGTTTTGGGTATTACTAAAGTGGCATCGGAGTATGGAAATATAATAGTCTGTGAATGCGAGAATTATCCCAATTTGGTGGGACAATCGTTTTTGCAGCCAAAAACATCTGATCACAATCCCATCCAGAAAACCTTAAATAATCTCCCATTTTTTCAAAGTAAAGTAACCAAGAACATATGTATTGAAACTTAATTCCGTTTCTTTCAGCTTTTGGAGAAATTAATTGGAATTGGCTTGTTTGGGCCGTCATAAACGGAGTGTCATCATCGTGGTTCTTCAGAAAAAATTACGTCAGAAAAAAATTCCACCAAAAGTTTTGCAGCCAATATAAATGAACATTTCAAATCAATCTTTGTTAGATACAAGATACCACAAGACAATTTATTGTTTGAATGAACATTTATCAAGCTAATTTGGCTGCCGCTAGAAAGTCTGATTTGCAATTCAGTTGATCTTTTTGGTCATGATAGAAAATTTGATCAAACTACGTGAAGATTCCGACTCTATCATTCTTATGAATTACAAGAGCACGATTTCCAATTTATTCCGGTAGGAAAACAAAGATGGCATAAATAGAAGACTTTCATGTTAGAAATATCGATATTGTAACTTTAACTGTACCTAGAACATAGTCGCCCAAAACGACAAAGTAGCTCCCCAAACTGTGCCTCACTTACTTACTCAGCCTCCCTGCCAAAATAATCCATTGAAAGCCTCATATTTACCAGTTAAAAGATATACAACAGTTCAATTGGTTGAATTTACTCCAAAGGCTTAATAGAACGTTATGCTACAATCTGGAAATTGAAGTCAAGTGGTTCTAACGAATGATTGGTTTTTGCAACCATAAATTCACCGGTTCATGCAATCTCTTTTCTGACATTTGATATGAACAAGAATCAATAAAAAAAATTTAAAGGATCTCTTTTCCTAAAATCCCAACAGTGCTTCTAAGGATTTGGCAATTGATATATAGGTCGAGCATAGAGACATACTGTTATTGATTCCCTAAAAATGTTAAAACTTACCACGTGATTGATCCTGCATATTTCGAGCCTAGAAATTTTTTTTGTTGTTCATTGTTCTGTTGTTCATTTTGACAGTTGAAATTGAATGTTGCCAGTGAGTTCCCAGTTGTTGAAAAATGAATGTCAAAAGAGAAAAAAAACAGATTGTAATTTACACATTCTTATAAAAATCTCCTTCTTTTTCCTTTCTTGATTACAAGTTGTTATAACTTTTACAGATTATATTAATTACAAATTATCACTAAAAATGGTATGTCATTGAAGTCAATTCAATTGATTCAATTCGATAAGTAATCAATTGGTTAATTCCCGAAAAGGAATTGGATAAATATGGATGTCTGAAGCTTTTTACTAACTAATTTTTTTAATATAGTCTAGATCAGGGTATGTTCAAGGTGTTTCAGTTATGTGCAAATAGATCAATTGCATCATAGTATACTAACAGAGATTGATATAGTGTCGCTGTTGATGACGAATGTTTAAATGTCTTCAATGAATTGAAATTAGGAAAGAAGTACAAGTTTATCATTTTTACATTAAATGAAACCAAAACTAAGGTTGTTGTTTCTGAAACTTCTACTGATACCGATTATGAAGCTTTCGTCGAAAAATTACCAGAAAATGACTGTAGATATGCCATTTATGACTTTGAATATGAACTTGGTGGTGGTGAAGGTAAAAGATCCAAGATTGTTTTCTATACTTGGTCTCCAGACAATGCCCCAGTTAGATCTAAGATGATCTTTGCTTCTTCTAAAGATTCTTTAAGAAGAGCTTTAAATGGTGTTGCTTCCGATATTCAAGGTACTGACTTTTCAGAAGTTGAATATGAAACCGTTTTAGAAAAAGTTAGTAGAGCTGCTGGTTCTCATTAAAACTTTTATAGTTCATCAGTATTATTTTGAAAGTGAGATTAAATAAAATATACATTTTAGTTTTATTATCGTTTTGTGTTTTTATAAGAAGAACCTGGAGTTGCAAAAAAAGCAAGCCAATTAAATCTCCATAAAGCAAATGAAGTTCAGGAACGGAGTTTGAAGAAGGTTTGCTATTTAAGAAATGGTACATTGAACACATTTTCCCTAAATCTACATCTCACTGTTTTTCTACTATATACCTTCTCTTCCTTAAGGAGCCATAACAACAGCGTCCCTTTGTTTATCTTTCTTCTCCCCCCTCTGTTGGCTGCCAATTTACATTTCCAAACATTAAAAAATCAATTTAGGCTTAAATTAAAATCTTTTAAATCTCCTCGGAAAAATTAATTTAAATAAATAAATAAAAAAGCTGTAAAAAGAAGATCACAAGAATTGTTTATCTGTCAAAAAGATACACACATCCACATTCCACTTAAACTTATTTTGGCCAAAAAAATTAGACAAGAGTGATTAGCCAAGCAGCTCCTCGTTAGTTGTTTTCATTTCTTCTTCCCAAATAATAGACATCCATAATGTCATCCAGGCGACCCCGGGCTACATTAGTCCAAAAAATTCAAGTTCTAGATTTTTACCATCAATCAAATCGACCTCAACTGGAAACAGTAAATAGATTCAAAGATGAATTCTCAATATCAACATCATCGTTAAGTGAATGGATCAAAATGGAACCTGAACTACGAGAAAGATTGACTTCAAATGGAGCATCAATCAATAAAAATAGTAGAAGGAAAGGAAGATTCAAATATGAAGAAATCAATCATGCGATGGATTTATTAGTTAAGAAAAAGCGAGAAAGAAATGAGCCAATAACGGAACGTGTGTTACGAGAACACTGGGTTGTATGTGCTCATCAATATGGAGTAGATAACCCTAAAAGATTAGTAGGATTCAGTCATGGTTGGTTAAGTCAATTCAAAAAAAGACATGGTCTTACGAGTAGTAAAGTTGGCCGATCTCCTGGTAAAACACCCACCATAGTAGGATCAAATAATTCCAACGCAGCAGAAGCTAACGTTGCTTCATTACTTACAGCAAATGAACAACCAACACAAAGTCTAGAAGAAAATTATGATACGCGGTTCATATCAGTTGCCGGATCTGAAAGCCCAACGAATGCAGCCAGCAATAAACTACAGGAACCAACTACAGCTAAAAGAGACATAGATAGACCTAGAGATAGTACGATAAGACTGCAGTCCCGAGAAAGTAGGACCAGTAATAACTTCACTCCACGAGAGACTCAAATCGACGAAAGTACATATGAGATGGTTATGTCATCTCAACAAAAAGCAACTAATAATGATGATGGAACAATCTCAAGAAATCAATTCCGTCCTCAAGAAGGGTTGAGCTTTTCCAATACACCTTCCATTGCAGGATTTGGAGCATATAATGATGGAAGAAAATCACAAAAATCACAAATCAATACCAACATCCAAACCCAACAACAGCAGCAACAGCAACACATTCAGCAGTTACAGCAAGTCCAACATCCATCGACCCAAACACAACAACAGCTTCAGCTTCAACCACAACCACAACCACAACAACCACAACAGCGTATAAGTCCTCCGGTTCCACCTCAATCTCAAATCCAACAACCCTCAGTTTCTCGACACACTAGTTCTCATAGTACACAACAACAAAATGTACGAGATATAGATATGATGGGGTCTAATAGTCAAGGATATCAACAATCAATAAGGGCTCAATACGAGAAACAGCGTCAAAAACTCGATCAATCGAATTTACAACAAGTTGTTAGGGCCGGAACGCCTGTCCATGGTTCGGAAAGACCTCCACATTCAAGAAACCCCCATTCCAATGAGAACATCAGTCAATCTAAAAGCGGTTCACGGGTTCCGGTTGTGGCGGATAGGGATGCGTCAGCTCATCAATCGTCTCTTGATGGGACTAGTGAGAGTTTGACTGATTTGAATAGACCAATTAATGCGTATGATATTGAGAGATTTATATATGTGTTTGCGGATCGATTTTTCCATGTGCATCAGTATGATTATCCCCAGACTGTGAAGGTGTTTCAGGATTTTAAAGATTCGTTCTTTAATGAGAGATTGATAAATATGAGGTCGGAGAAACAACAGAAACAACAGCAAAAACAACAACAAGCGCAGCAGCAAGCACAACAGCAAGCACAACAACAACCTGCACATGTTCAACAACCACAGCAAGCACAGCAACAGGTTCAATCACAACAGCATCAGTCACAGCACGAGCTTGCCGAGCATACTCCACTGCAACATCAATCACAACAGCACCAAGTGCGTGAACGTATACCACAGCACCAAGGAGATCGTATTCAAAAACAATCTCAACACACCCACCATCAACAGCAATACGAACAACAGCAACAGCAACAGCTACGTCACCAACTCCATCAGCAACAAGGAAATGGCCGTCCGACTCCACAACAAATGTCATCGTTTGTCACGTCTACTAGCGACAAGCCTTCACCACTTGGAACTACGCCATCAATGATCCCTACGCCGTTGAATCAACATCTTAACTTACATCGACAACATCACCAACTGAACCAACGACAACCACCAACTCTACCGACGCCAGGACTTACACATTCTCAATCATCTACTTCTCGAAGTGAACAAGAGTTGAGACAGGCGTCAATAGATACATTGACACAATTGCAATTACGCGAAAGTGGACAAATTCGTCAATCTCAACAACAACAGCAACAGCAACAACAAGCTAGTCATCGTCATTCGCAACAACATTCTCAAAGAAGTCTGCATCAACAACAGCAACAGATACAACAAATGCAGCAACAACAGCAATTTGATGAGTTTCTTCTACGTTCCATAAACACGTCAAATCCCAATCCTTTAATGCATTCTGCGAATCAAGGATTACCGCTCACGGAAGCCATGTTAGGAAGAAATCTCCAACCGCAACAGCAGCAACAACAACAGCAGCAACAGCAGCAGCAACCGCAACAAGGGCAACAACAGCTACATCATCAACAACAACAACAGGCATCCCTTTCGATGAGAGGCAATAAAAATACTAGAGTTAATATAGATCACATCAAGAATAGATGGAATGAAAACGCATGAATGCGAAATTGTAATAGTTATATATTCTTATTTATTTTGTATAGTTATTTTCATTGGAATATAAAACATATTCGAATTGGATTGGGTTCATAGATTTCGGCGTTGACACTCTTTTTTTTGCAGCAAAAGTTTAATTAACGCATTTTCTTTAGCTTTGGTTTGCGTCGATGTGTTCCAATGTTTCGTTCCTCTATTTTTGAAGGGTAGAAAGGATTTCTAACAGTATGAAGCTTATACTTGTTCCTGCTGTTGCGTTTAAATCTGAATTATTGGAACCAGTTTCTAAAAAAAATAATATTCACTGTCTTCACCACCTTTGATCTCAGAAAGTTTTGGGTCTTTGTCGGATAGCTAGAAATTTCTTTCTTTCTTCATAGATTCTAACTGGTAATATGAGTCCATATTATCACTTAAAGGATCACACTTATATAACCTCAATATAAATGGCACTTTCCCAAAATCTGCATGCAAAACTAAACAGATGTAAATAGCAAAACTGTAAGGAGTGGTTATGTGCTCCTTCCTAATTTGGAATTGGAGTAATCGCGGAGATTATAGACTTTCGCCGGTCGTTAGTGAGTATGTGGTATGGCGGAGGCCCGGACGTGGTTCCTGTGTGTAACTTGTTACACTACAGTTGATTTCTGAAAAGCTTCGATTCGGCCGCTACTTTCCCCGTTTCCTAAACTTTAGTGCGCGAGGATAAATACCTGTGGATTCCCCCTTTAGAGGTTTTGGGATTTGGTTGGGGAACAACGAAGAATCTACCTTCATAGATTCCAACTATCTATTTACATAGAAGACTGAACTTTGGTTCATTAGGATATCCGAATATACATTCGCTTGGACGATCTCGTATCAGACGTTTTAGCGCTTCCACTGTCAAACAATCGTAATTCTAGTAGAAACACTCCTTATTCTTACAACAACGCATATCCAAATTTGGTAGCGCAAACAACCACTTTTTGCTTCTTGGTGCAATGATATTTGCCTCAGGTGTGGACATAAGATCATTCGTTCTGTTCTTGTAGTGGGTTATCTGAATAGCTTTCAGGGGATTCACTTTCCCGATATTGAAGCCGAGTCATTATCTTCTTCCAGCGTGTATGGGAATTTTGAGTCCTAGCTGTACTGCGGTTTATTAGATGGACGACCCATTTAGTGGTGAGAAAAATAAATCTGGGGGGTGGGGGATTCAGGGGTCGTTTCTCAATTGATCACCCTCTCAAACCGCTAGAACAATAAGCAATTCGTTATAAGAACCTATATCCATTCACTATGGCGGAAGCACCTCAAAGTAGGAAAGATGTTCCTGGTGGCGTTGTTATAAATATTCCGAATTCGGAAATGCAGTTAGTGCTCAGTAATGTACCAAAGGAAGGATCTTCAATAGATCTTCTATTGGAAGAAGTTAAACAGCTACGTATTCAAATGAATGACATACAAAACTACCTAAAACCCAAAAATGATATGACCAGCGGAATATTTACGCTTCCAGATGAAATATTATCATTGATTTTAGAATATTTGAATCAAATGGATACAATTCACTTAGCTTTAACTCATCGATTCTTTGATGAGGTCTGTAAGGAGAAATTATTTAGGTCAATTTATGTCTACGATAATAGCGAAGACATCGTGATAAATATTCCAAAGAAGTTATATTTACCATTTTATATCAAGCAAACGATAATAGACTTGGATACGTTTTTTCGATTACTATCAAGCACTCACTACAAACCCGAGTTAGTTAAGAGCATACTTTTTGCAAATGATAATATTGTGAACCACATGACGTTGGACTCTATTGTTAAAAATGCCACAAGTTGTAGCATTAGGTTTAGGGATGTTGTGCACGATGACACCAAATCGTGGCTATTCAACCATCAGAAAACGACTGCTTCCGATTATTACTTGTATACATATAGTTTCAAAAAGACGAACCCTCGAGATATCCCAGAGGGAGTACGACTTATAACTGCGGAACCATTCTTCGGGAGGGTTATAACGGAAAGAGCTATGTCAAACATGAAAAGATTGAAGAGCATCAAACTAGCTAACCCGCCCTCATTTAATGTTGATGAACCGATTGTAGTAGACGAATTATATTTGATAGCAAATGGAGCCACCCCAGTACGTGATATTTTGAAATGGTTTGATCTCCTGAAACTTTCAAGATTAAAAATCTTGTGTAACCAGGAAGCATTTTCAGATAGAATATGCGCTTTGGCATCTGAATTGAAATCACTCCGAGCTGTGGAACTTGACTTGCGAACATGGGATAAGTGGCGCAAGTTTACGGAAATGTTGAAATGTGAGTCTTTACAAGAAATTTACTTCCCTCCTTCTCTTGCCTCATTAGAACAGTTCAAGGAGCTTGAGGAGCTTCCATTCAAACATCTGTATCATTTGAAAATAATAAGTTTCTCGTCAATGGAAGAACATACGACTTACCAAGGTGGATGGGATGCTTGGAAGAGGCTCTGTGGACCAGCAGATAGCATTGAAGAGGTTTCGAAGAAAATTTTGGAAAGTATGCATCCAGGTCTTTTCGGCTCTGTAGAAACGAGGTTTCACGCATTAAAGGAATTGATTGTTTCCAGGCAGGTTTTAGTATTTGATCGAGGACGCAGATATCCTCGCTTTGTTCCTGTTGAATTTTATGGTGGCAATTGATAGTTTAGAATACGTTACACATAATTCTGATATAGAGTTCAAATAAAAAGTTACAAACCCCTATTGTCGAGGAGTCTACGATAGAATCTCTTTTTCGATAGCAAGGTTCTGCAACCAAGGTTTACGTTTTTTACATACGCATATGTGCTAGCCGTAAATGAAGCTATAATACTAAATGGAACAGCCATTTAGAAGTTCGTTTCATATCAATCTGTGTGATTATATTAAAAACCTATACCCTAAGGAAATTGAAATTGAAAAGAAAATGAACCAAAAATCAATTCTGTATTATACATTATTATCTTACCAATCATCAATACTTTTTCAAGAGACCGAAATCCCGTTTCTTTCTCTATCAATCCAGTTTTGATGTAACATGATAAATGGCCCAACCAAAAACTAAAATTAAAAAAAAAAATAAATCATAAATAGCATAAAACCAAAATTAATAAATTCTTAAACCTTATTCGTAAAATTAATTTCATTATCCCCTCCAATTTCTACTTCTATCAAAGGAGCATCATTGGTAGAAACTTCGGGTGCTGTAACATCAGCATTGGTCTCATTTTTACATTGACAATTCTCACACTCTTTTTTACAATGTTCTTCTTCTTCTTTATTCCCATGGTGGTCCGCAATACTACTTTCATTTGGATGTAAATCAATATCCCCAACATTCTTAGTTAATGTATCAACCACATTCGTAGGTCTATGTACCTTTAATCTATTTGCTCTATTAATATATCTTGGTATTTGTCGGGCCAGGGAGTCTCTATTCATTCCATTCATTGCATTTGTCATATTGATTGAGCCGTTGGTGCTTACTGAATCCTCAGCTTTATTTATCCTGGTTGTGATTTCAGAATCGTTCTGATGTTTTGCATATAAATAATTTCGAAGAGCCATGTTATTAGGAATTCCGTTTTGCTTATATATGTATGTGATAATTATAATAATAGGGTATAATATGCGAAGTATGGAGAAACTATTGAATTTAGCCTATCAGAAGACAGATAACTTATAACACAAAAGCCAGGAATTTTTAGTTAATTAGTGAAAGGAAAACAATAGTCTGAAGCAAAAAAAATAGACAGGACTATTGAAGGATTATATATAGATATTTAACACGAAGAAAAATGTGTATGTAATAATTAACCGGTTACATTATCATACAATGTGTCATAAGAAGATTGAAGGGTTCGTTCCTTTTGCAATAGAAAAAAAATGAAAAAAAAGTGGAACCACTTTATTTTTTAAGCGAATATTTTTTAACCTAAAAGCCAAAGCTTTTTTTAGCGTGTGCCTCTAGATCTTACATATGTAAGTTTATACTGTAGAGCTGTACTGTTCGTGAAATTGTTACTACGTGATGTTATTAACTTTCAATCTTTTATTTACAATACGCAAGATCTAAAAACCGGATTCACAACCATTGGTTGGAAACCAGGGATGCTACAAATACGTTTTTCCATCGAGTATCAAAACGTAACCCAGCCTCAATTGAAGTATGTTAGCCACTCATCCCAAAACACAATAGACCAAAGGCAATAAATTTGTACCCAGAAAAACTCGTTAATTGCCAAAATAGCACGCAAACATTCTTGGATATCTATTTATCCGATTTAAGCAGCCGCCCAAATGCAAATATCTCGGATAAGTATAATGTACATATAAAATTAATTAATTTATTATTGTTACTAGTACTTTGGAATATATTTTTTAATCTAATTAATTAATACAGCAGAGAATAAACGTTAATAATATTAAAAAAAAGATCTTCCGGATCTTCGGTTATTTGCCAATAGCAACATCCTCCTCCTTATGTAATTGACGGATAACCGTCATGATTACCTGGAGTTAATTTCAATCCAATAATGATAATACCCAAGGCAATTGTCAAGAATTTAAATTTCAAACCATCATCCACCAAATGTTGGTCCTCTTTTCTCTTGTGTTTACCTTTGGACTTTTTATTAGTATTTCCCATAACCAAATATTGAATTTGTTTCAACATCCCAATTTCTTCTTCTGAAGAAGATGAATAATTTTCAGTCGTAGAAAATTCTTCTGGCCAACTAGCTTCTTTAGCCTCTTCTTCTTCGTCATCTTCATCGTCATCGTCTTGTTCATCTTCGCTTAAGGAATATAAACCACGTTTCGAGAAAACTTCAGAAGCAAACTTCTTGAGATTCTTGGGTACATGAATCTCAGACTTATATATCCCAAGTCCACAATCAGCATCATAGGCGTCTTCATCGTCAATATCATCAATATCATCATAATCACTACCGATATTCAAATATCCTGGACTACTATAAACACTTCTTTGTGCATGCAATCCTAACTTACTAAAGTCGGAAATTGAATCTCTTGGAGTTGCATCAGGATCAGATCCCAATCTATTATAATCCTTGGTTAAGATGGCATTTATGGAAACCGATCTTAACACTCTCTTTTTCTTTATGAGTTCATCTCGGGATGATTCTATCAATTTTGCATCTGAATACTCCATAGTTCTAGGGAAAGTCTGGTGTTTTTGATGTTGTTGTTGGACAGCAAGCAGCAAGGATTGTTGCGATTGCTTCTTGGATAATCGTTTAATATTCTTCTTTTGTTTCTGTAACTCAAATCCAATATATGATAATAGCTTTTCATTATGTAATTTCAATGATTGCAATTCAAATTTGAGTTTTGTAATTTCTTGTCTTGTCTTATCATCATCAATATAACTCGAACGCTTAGACGATGAAACACTATTGGGATTAAGCTCCCCACCAAACCCATTTAATGCCAATAAAGCATCATTCCGATGATCTTCCTTCCCATCATCGCTGGAGTCCTTTATTACATTATTGAACATCGTTAGAGGAGAATGTCTTTTGTCTGGCATAGACGTGCTCCTCTTTGTCGGTGGTTCAAATTCAACCATTATGGGTAGTATATCGTGACTGTTATATCTTGTATGTGTATGTTTTCCACGAGGTTCCTTCCCACCATTCTCCGATAATGGTGTCGTTAGTTTGAATGGAGATAATACAAATTCTTCACCTTCACAAATATACAGCATTTGTTGAAGAGGTAATGAACTTCTCTTTTCATTCTTCAGTTTGGGATCAGGTGAAGGTGGAAATCGATGAGAATGTGGTTGATCTGGGGTTGTGTATTGATCTATTATCCCAAGGGAGCTATCGGATGGAGGAAATTGAAAACTATCAGCAACATGTAAGGATTCCAGTGAAACATTCGCTTCATTCTTTATTGGAGATGAATGGTCAAAGCAAACAAAGTTGGGATCTATTAGTTCTTGAGATTCGTCACTTAGATTATTCATAGTATGATTAGTTTCATGATGTAATTCAGACATGAATTCATTAGAATTAGTTCTCTGAAATGATAAATCATCCAAGGACAGCAGTCCGATTCGTTTTATAAGATCTTCATTTTCATGAGAAAGATATTCTATTTGATCCATTAAAACCAGTTTTGCATTTATTTCCAATTCGAAATTACTTTCTAAAACTTTATATTCATGCATTAATTTTTCATATTTCTGGGTAATATCTTGTTTATCATTTGTATCTATGGACTGCTGTATTTCATTTCTACTTTGTTCTAACTTTGTTCTATTAATTGCTAATTCATCTGATAGGGTGATAATCTTTCGTTGTAAATCATCTATTGTCTCTTTATACATAGATATCTGTTTCTGGAGCAAATCTTGATTCTTTAGACTTTCATATTCTTTATCCTTTAGACATTGTTCATAATACAGTATTCTCTTATGTTGTACTTCAATTTGAGATCTTCTTTCATATAATTCATTATCCAATCGTTGATTTTCAAGCCTTAAATCATTATGCTTCAATAGTGAATCAGCAAATTGTCGTTCGAAAGCTTTAGATTCTCCAAGTAAAGAATTATCTGTCTGTAAGAAAGCGCCACTGTGCTGTCGACTTCGTGGTGTATGAAGGGTTGGCATTTTAGTACTCGGAAGTTTCGGTGATTTTACCCCAGAAATGGTATTATTAAGTTGTAATGGTCTTAGTGGTTTCTTTGAGGAGTATAAGGATAAGTTGTTACTATCAAGTTGAGTAATTAAATGTATTTCGTTCTCTTTGTTCCTTTCTTCTTGCATTGTAAACAAAAATTAAAAAAAACCAAAGCCCAATTAAAAAAAAAGCAAAAATTATCACCAAAACGCAAATCGTCAGTTAAGTTGAAAGTTTGATGCAAAACGTAATAGTAAGGTACCCGGTAAATTATTCTTAGATGATCAAAATTCACTTCTGAAATATTTCTTGAAAGGAATGCAATTTTTAAGTTATGCAGCTTGATGAATATTCCTCAAATAAAATCGAACGATGTTTTCCACTTTGATACAACAATGCAACAATTCCCGATTTATTCCTGTGCCACTTTTGTTCTTTCTTCGTCTTTCTTTCTTGTTAACGTGTGATGACTAAAATAACCAAAGCAGCTTCTTCTTCTATAAATAGATTAAACAAATGTAGCTGTCAATAATAAAGTTAGGCTTCTTTTTCAATTTGATATAAAACAATTACCAGAGAACAAAAATTTGACGATTTGTTTTGAATTTTGGTTTAAAACAAAATGTTACCGCTTTGCTTATTTGGTTGAATGTTTGGTATTGGTTAATAGTAGTTAGTACTAGCAGTACAGGTAATAGTAGTGGGTAGTAGGTATAGTAGCAGTTAGCTAAGGGATTGTAGTAAGGTTTTATGAAATTAAAGAAACAATCAATCAATGGTAAATTTTTTACAAAACCAATTTTTTTTTTCGAGATTTGTTTTGATTTCCCAATTAGGAAGTGGCTACTAGTTGACACCACCAATTAACAAGAACCTTAAAAAAAGCTTAAATGAAAGTTCAATCGTTTGGGGGTTTGGGTTTCTCAAGAGAATTTTGCGTCAATTTGCAACTAATTAATAGAAGTTTCTACATCCCTATATTTAAGAAATGGGAAATTGCAATTAAATTCTTACAAAACACACATTGCAATGCAGCAATATGTGATTAGAAAAAAAAGCTTAACCAAATCTTTCCGGGTTACATCTCTTTCTTGATTTCCATCAGATTTTCTTGTTTCATAGTACACGCCTACATATCGTGTAAATAATCCTTTACTATATAAAATATATAAACTTATTAAGATATACTTTTATTACAAGTTCAAACATTTGTCCAGCAGCTAAAGATATACAATGGTAGTAATTTTTATACATGAAAAAATTAATTTTAATTTAGGATATACTCATTGTCATCCTTATGAATATAAATTTATATATAAAACAGAAGAAGATATAAAAAATATTTTATTATATAATTTTAACGATGAACTTATTGTTATAATTAATAAAAATAATATTATAAGAGTTCAAGAACTGTATGATAGTTTTGAAAAGCACGCTATAATTAATGATATAAAAGAATTGGAATCGTTTTATAGTGATTTAATATGTATACATATGAATACAGACAATCATGAAAAATGCAAAATTTAATAATGTTGTGAATATTAGAATTATATAATATCACGTGACATTGGTGTTAGAGTTGACGAGTCAATATTGGACACAATATTTATACGTCCAAATCTCAGTTTTTATAATTTATAAGTTTTATATGTTTCTTTTTATATTAATCAATTTTATATTACACAAATATACAAATAACAACAAAACACAATCTCAAGTTTACAATTAACTTTAGCCACCATGGAATCAACCGTAACCAGATTATATCAAATAAGACTATTTACGACAAAAAAGGATTTAAAAATAAAAAATGAAGATATAAAAATAATTAAAATTGATGAAACAAAAGATATTATAGATCACATTTTTTATTATACTGGGGATTATAGTAATATATACATAGTCGAAATAGATAATAAATATTATTATAGATGCAAAAACAGAATTATAAACAAAAAAATAAAATGCAAAGATTTAAAATTCGTTGATGACACTTTTGATCCTAATGATAATTCTATAGTAGAATTAGTTTATCAAAGAACAAATAATAAAACAAAAAATGTCGTAAAAATTAAAATAAATAAAATAGAAGATTATAATAAGTATGAATACAATTATATATTTAAAAATGCTTATTTTATAAAAGAAAATGATTATTATATTATGTATAATTCAGAAAATAAAGACGAATTTGTAAAAATAAAAAAACCTATAATTATTAGATCTCAAAAACAATTTTATTATGAAATGGAGAAAATTAAAAATGATTGTGGAGAAAAATAATAAAATTGAACATTAGACAAATGGTATTCAATATTAGAGAAGGATCTTGTTCACTTAATCTATAGAAAAATCTATATTCTCTTTAGAATGATAAAGTAAACTATAATAAACAAACAAATAAGATAATCGATAATCAACTTTACAAAAAACATGATATATATTCATTAAATGGGGTGAAATGACATCTAAGAAAAGGTTTATATTTTTTATATAAATCTATACATATATCTGGAATATGAAACGAGATATTCAATAATCTATATGTATTTTCTTTACACGTACATATAATAGGTCTTTCGTTCTGACAAATGGAGAACATCTCCAAATTCCATTCAATCCTTTCAAATAAAAAAAATATTGTTCCGTTTTATTAAATATATGTACAAGTAATTATTACCTTTAAAAATACGCCATCTATATGTTAAAATATTCAAGATCATTACAAAATCAAATATTATCCCGTTCTCATCATCATCGTTCCATCCAATCCACAACAACAAAAGCCAACTACTTTGGAATAGAATTTAATGCTTGGTGAACAGAATTACCTGGATTCATAGCCGAAGTAATATCATGCTTCTTAATAATTGCTCTCAACACTCTTGGATCATTTCTTAATGTTCTTAATAATTGTGATTGAACACCACCTGAACTGTCAAATCCAATAAGGAAATGATATCCTTGGAAATGTCTTTCTTGTTCTTTTTTCATAATACGTGGTAACGGTTTTGCACCAATACTAGTTATTTCTCTTATAACACCTCTATTGTTAAGAATCAACCTACCAACAGTAGATGCAATTCTGGTAGCTTCTTTGGAAACATTAGCTGGATCCGTTATACGGGCAATAGCAAGCAATTCGTAGTACATTATTTGATTGATGCTTCGTCGTTACAAGTACTGCATCTTTCTCAATGGAAAATTTTTTTACATGTTGAAGAAAACTGTTTGAAGAATTAAATGTCGTAGAATCACTGTTTCAAAACGACATTAAATTTTGGAATGTCGTCTTCACGTGATCGTTAGATAAAGTCACGTGCAATGACCCAAGATTGCAATTTTGCAATTTTTCAACAATTTTCCAATCAAGATCCCATTTGTTGATAATATTTCTATTCTTTCTCCAGATCTTTCTCTTTTTCCATTATATGTGTCTTCTAGAAAACTGTGGCATCTTTTAATTATAAATAAACAATCATGACTAAAGCTACTAATATCACCTGGCATGCAAACTTAACCCATGAAGAGCGTGCTACCTTAAGAAAACAAAAGGGTGTTACTGTTTGGTTAACTGGTTTATCAGCCAGTGGGAAGTCTACTATCGCTTGTGCTTTAGAACAAACTCTTTTGGCAAGAGGCTTAAATTCATATAGATTAGATGGAGATAATATCAGATTTGGTTTAAATAAAGATTTAGGTTTTAGTGAAGCTGATAGAAATGAAAATATTAGAAGAATTTCTGAAGTTGCAAAATTATTTAGTGATTCTTGTTGTGTCACTTTAACTTCATTTATTAGTCCTTATAAAGCCGATAGACAGTTTGCTAGAGAACTCCATGAAAAGGAAAACTTACCTTTTGTTGAAGTTTATGTCGATGTTCCAATCGAAGTTGCTGAACAAAGAGATCCAAAGGGTTTATATAAAAAGGCAAGAGAAGGTCTCATCAAGGAGTTCACTGGTATCAGTGCCCCATATGAAGCTCCAGATAAGCCAGAAATTCACTTAAAGAACCACGCTGGTGTTTCTATTGAAGATGCCGCTCAACAAATCGTTGACTATCTCGTTGAGAAGGGATACATTAATTAGACAAGTTTATATTTATACGGTAATAAATTTATAGATTAAATAATACCTAGGATTTCTTTAAACTATCCAAACGTGCTTGTAAATCATCTTCATCCGCATGACCACCACCGCCAACTCCGGCACCAATAGCTTCGGCAACTTTTCCATTTGCCTCTGTTTCAGCTCCAACATTTATAGTACTTGGAGTGTCTTTCAAAGTAGTATTCAAGTCAACTCCAATTTCATCCAACACCTTACTCAAAATCTCATCTATTTGTTCTTCTTCACCTAATTCATCTTCATCCATCGCCATGGCATCATCAATAGCATCATCCATAAATTCTTGTTTTTGATCCATTAAATCATTCTCCTTAGCAAATTCTTGGGCAATTCTAGATAATTGTGGCAAATTCATTGATCTATTCATACCACCCAATAACCTCGTGGCATCCCTCATTGACATTGCCATTTGTTGATTAGATCTAACACTTTGAATTCTTAATGAAATAGCTTGTAATTGAGCCTTCATAGAATTGAATTTTGATATATATGATTTTGTCCTAATTAAATCCTTAGCTTGAATCTTTGCACTTGATATTTGTCCCAGTTTTGCTGATTTCTTAATCTCGGATATCAATTTCTTTTCTTGTTGTTGTAATTTGGTAACTTCTCTTGATAATTCTCGTTGAGTCTTTTCTAATGCTCGTTGATTCTTTCGAAGTCTTTCTTGTGGGGTAAGCTTCTTCCCAAATGCCCATTCAAATAACTGTGACATGACAGATAGATTCTATTTCCGTTGATGTATATTCTAGTTATATATATATCTATGAAGTTGAAGTTGTTCTCCAGATAAAGAAATTGGTTAAGCTCTTGCCACATTCTTTTTTTTGATGGGAGACAAAATTCCAGTTACTAAGAGTGAAACAGAGGGCTACCATATGAGCAAATACTAGATACTTAAGTTTGGCTCTTGCAGCTAGCCTACAATAGAGATACATCATCTTATAGAAATTATGTATATCATAAAGTTTCTATCTATTAAAAAAAGTAATTGAAAAACTATGTCATAAAAAACTGGATGTTTCTAATAGAGAGATCTATACATATCCGGATACTCTCTCTTATCTACAATTTACTTCCTTCAACTGCTAACTTTGCAGCTCTATGAGCCATACCAAACCCTGCTTGATATCCATATCCACTTGCACCATAATTATGAATCAAGACTTTCCCTTCATCGAATCTTTCCTTCTCAATTCTAGCCCCACCATGTCTACTTGGTCTCAAACCAGCAGCAACTCTAATAATTTCCAAATCAGAAATCTTTGAACCATGAGGATTTTCAGTTAAAATCTTAGGTAATAATTCAGTAGTTCTTTTAAGAATATCTTCAGATTCTGATTTAAAAGTATCACCGGTCCAATTATCCTTTTGGAAAAATCCACCCAAGATCAATTGATCATGAGAATATGGTCTTTTGATAATATAAGTGGCATAATCATCACCCCATCTCATTTTATTTTCCATAATATGAGGAGCTTTGATAACGACAACTTGTCCTCTTGCGGGGTATACATTCTTATCTTCAACACCGCCAAGAGATCTAGCGCCAATACCACTACAATTGATAACGTTTTTGGTTGAGCCAGAAATGTAAGCTTGGACAATGTGGGTTAATTCTCTTCTAATGAATGTAACACCTTGTCTTTCTAAATATTGTTGGAAATTAAATAAGAATTTTGGACAATTGAAATTCCAAGATAAGAATTTAATCCCAAATTCAACTCCATTAGGTAAATCTTTAGTTGGGATAACTTCATAATCCTCTAAATAACTAGCCAAAGAGTCGATCTTCTTTTGAGAAGGTTTCTTATCCCACATTTCAATAGAAGGATATCTATCTAATCCTTTAGTTTCCCCACCAACGGCCCTTTGAACACGTCCGACATTAACATAGGTATATCTGTCATATTCTAAAGTTTCTGGGTCATCACCGGTGATACATGAAAAGTTACCACCTGCGTATGGAGAAGTATAGTTTATAGATTCATCCCCAGGTAAATGTTGGGCGATAATTGTGATTTCTTTTGGATTGACTCCTTTTTCAATCAAACTGAAGGTGGTATATAAACCAATGATACCTGCACTTTAAAAAAAAGAATGAGTTAGTATAAACTTCACCTGAGTGACACTTATTAAAGATGAAGTAGCATACCCTACAACTACGTATTTAGTCATATTCTCCTGTTGAATTTATACTGTCTGAAAGAAAGCTATTGAAATGAAAATGAGAAAAAAGAAAGCGGGAATCTGTCAAATATTTTATAGTCCGAGATTGTTGCACACCGAGTCAAATTACGAAAAAAAATCTTAGCGCCTGTTTTAAGCGCGGATATCGATTCCCCTTGATTGTCCCTCCACCCCAGATTTTTCACTTTCCAAAGGAATTTGGAAGCGAGATTGTAATATACAAGCGATAATTTTTTTATTATATTTTTATAAATCCTAACCTATAAACCATATTTATAATTAATTATTATCATACTCCTCAAGAATACGGTATAATCTTTCAATAACCACAATTGAATTATCTTTACTAACATCTTCCATACCATATTTATAAATTGAAAATAACCCATAAATTGCAAATAATGTACAAACACTAAAAGCGATATAACCTTTTAATGTAAACCCTAAAGGTAAATCTTTAAATTGCAAGTTTTCTCCTGTTAAATCCAAGAAATCTTCAGCATTACCAGCTGCATTTCCTTTATATGGAACTCCCGCAGCATTACATACATCAATATGATTCTGGGGGATCTTTGATTGTGATTTCTGTAATTCCATCGGATCTTCAATCAACAATATCGCTAATCCTTGTTCTAAATGCCAATCTAAATGACAATGGAAAAACCAAACACCAGGATTATTCGATTGAAATCTAAGTACAATAAATCCATTAGGTTCAACTTGAGCAGTATCTCTAATCAAAGGATATTTAGGATAATTAGTCATGGTTTTATTATTGGGATCAAAACTAATTGGATTTTCTTCATCATCAGTATTAAATCTTGAAATTACTTGGAATGCATGTCCATGTAAATGGAAAGGATGCTTTCCAGGATCATGATTATTTAAAACAATGTCAACAACTTCATTGCCTTGAATTATAAATGAATTGGTATTTGTACCATATACTAATTGATTAGTTGCTTGTTCACCTGAAGATAAAACACTATAAAGTGTGGGCACTTTTGGTGGAGTATATGTCTTTCCATTAAAGAGGGCATAAGTAACTCCATCACCAAGTACTTCCATTGAGAAATTCACTTGGATAGTAATATCAGGTTCTGGTAATAATTTAATATCTCCAACTGGTCTTAAATGGAAATCATTGAATTTAGTTAAACGATCTACAGCTTTGTCATAGTCATAAGGTGGCAATGGTTTCAATAGTGGTTCTGACTTATCATAGACCACCCAATTAGTTGATACTAATTCTAAACCAACTGGAATGAAATCTAACATTTCTTGATCAAATATGTTAACAAATCTGTAATTTGGTTTAGCCTGTGATTTTGCTTTAGTATGAACTAAAACAACATATCTCTGCGCTACTGATATATATAATGATTCAACAGTATATGGTTCAACTTTGATCCCATCAACCTCTAGAATTGTAAAGGAATGATCTTCAATATATACGTAATGTGAAACAAATAAACCCATATTAACTAATCTCAAGAAATAAGTCTTATCGGGTTGAACTTCCCAAGTAACATTTCTAGTTTCATTAAATAAACTACTTTGAGGAATTGGTTCTGCTCCAGTTGGATTAAATCTTGATTTAAATGATTTCATAATTTCCAAACTTTCTAAATGATAATGATCTCCAATCGACAATACAACCTCTTCATCATATTCTACTCCATAATCATCTTCAATAATAAAGATCCCTCTCAATCCATCTCCATATTGTGATCCAGTATGAGAATGATACCAGAATGTACCAGTTTGTTCACCAACATTGAAATCATGAGTAAAAGTAGCTCCTGGAGGAATAGGACATTGTGTGACAAATTCAGGTCCATCATGAGCTGCATATCCTTTCATAAATAATCCATGGAAATGTAAGGAAGTATTACGGTCTCCTAAATTGTTGGTTATGTGAATTATGACTCTGTCATGTTTAGATACTCTAATAGTAGGTAATGGCCATTGATTATTTATCCCAATCATACGCCGTGGATGTAATCCATCGGGATTTGAATCTACCCAAGATATATCCCAATTGAATTCATGGGTTTTGGATGCAAGGGTTGTGAGTATAAATGTAAAGAGAATGTAAATCAGTAGATACATTGCTCTCTTTGTTTAAAAGTGTTACTAACTGAATTGTATAATTAATAATCAAGAAGAAGAAGAAGAAGAATGAGAACGAGAATGGCTTTTGTATTTAAAATAAAAATAAAACAATAAGAGAACAGAAGAAAATTTTTTAGAGTGTGATTTGTAATTATGAGATCATAGTGAGTGAGAAAGAGAGAGAGAATGGACAACGGGTAAATTAATAATACAAAATGTTGTTATTTTTCTTGTCAGTAATCTTCTTTCTACCTGATAATACAAAAGTGCCTGAAATGTTGCAATGTAATGTTGTAGGCTTCTGATTGGTTGTAACTTACTAATGATGTAAGCAATCATTTTCAAGTGAATTTTTTGGTTTATGAAACCCTGCCAAGGACCAACTTGTAATTCTTGAATCTTCATATGCTAATCTATGAGATTCAATATAATCATGAGTAGGATAATCTTGTGGATCACATGTTAATTCTATTGAATCTTGAGGTTGATATATTCTAATATAATCAATCTCAAATATTGCTGGTAATTGTAATTTATTTAAATCTAAATTATTATTCCATTCTCTTGATAATCCCATATTTAAAATTAATGACATTGGTTCTTTTGAAATCTGTCTCCATCCAATATATTCATTTGGATGTAATGCATTTGATTTAATTGTAAATGTAGGGATATCATCAATTGAAAATTCAATATAACTATCATCATTCCCAAGACTTTTATATTCCATACTAAACTTTTGAAATTGATCTCTCTTTATATCAGTTGCCAAACTAACCGATTCTTGATAAAAAGTTCCAATATCTTCTCTCACATACGTCAAATTCTTATCCTTAATATACACATAATCATAATCTGGTCTCCACCATTCATCAAATGGAGCCAATTGTAATGTCTGAACTCCCAACATTTTTCCATCCTTATATAATCCTTCAATAATATCAATTTCAGGAGCACCTCTCCCCACCCCGACACTCGGATGATCTTCTCCTTGACATACACATTTACTCAATCGTTGTCCTGGCAAATAGGACATTCCTTGATTGCGTGAAGATTGATTGGGTGTTATACCCAAATCACATTCATTATAAGTATATGGCCAAATCCCATCACTTGTAGCAAGATATCCCGGTCTTGCTAAATTACCTAAACTCCATACAGCTGGCCATAATCCATGTATGACTTGTTCATAGGGGAGTTTTGCGGAGACTTCTACTTTGACTTGTTTGTTAAAACATAGTTTATTCCAAGATTGAATCATCCCGGAAACATATCCTGTATCATTACTACCTGGCGGAAAATTCTTTTGCAAGAATGTTATCTGTAGTGATCCGTTTCTTGTAGTAACCATAGTTGGATCATAGACTTCCAAATCTTGCGTGGCGAGATAATATAAATCCATCGCCGTAAAGAATTGATCATCACCTTCATGAAATGTTCTTCCTTCAGTATTGAATTCATCTGAAAACACTAATTTCCATTCTCCTTGTTCATATGCCTCCTTGGGGGTATCAGGGTCAATTAACGGTTTTAGTGCATTTAATTTCCCATATTTATATCTAGTCAATTTTTCAATCTTTTGACCATTGCGAACTGGATCATCAATTACCATATTTGTTTGGATTATGAAAATCAGGGTAGATATCAATATTAGTGATACAATAATAAATGAAAAAGTGATTCGAAATACAAAATTCAAGTTTTCCCAAGTATACAATAAACTCTTATTATTTGCATCCTTCAGTTCAACATCATTTACATCCATTAAACCTTCATCAAGATAATAGAATGGATTTTCAAGGAATTTGAATTGTGCAGAAGATATCGGATCACTAGATTTATCAGATAGTGAAAAATATCGTGAGTCAGACTTTATTACGAAATTGTTATATTCATCACCATAATGGGTAAGGATAATGCTAGGATCTGTATTTACTGAATCGGTCGTGGAAGTACTGGCCGTACTATTGGTCAAAGAAAGGATTGATTTTGCTATGGAGACTACCGAGCCTCGTTTCTTTGTTGACATATGTTCGAATGTTCTTATTGAAGGAATAAAAATAACTGAAACATGTTTTAATAATTTTTTCAACGTTTTGAAAGAGGTACAAGAATGAAATTAGGATTAAATTGGTATTCTAAATTTGTTGTTATAATTGCCGCAAAATTTTAGAATGTTTTTTGTTTAAGGAAATTTTGCAACAATAAATTAAACTTAAAATGACTGTAAAATATAAATTATAAAATTACTATAAAAATTAAAAGAATCACGAAACAAAAAAAACATTAATTATCTATTATTAAAGAATACTTTGATATCCATTATGGTACTGAAAAATTCTGATCAAATGGATTGCAAAATGAAGAAAAACGTATTAGATGGGATGGAATGAACAGACCCCCCCCCATGTCGATTGAACGAAAATTAAATTAGTGCGTCTTGGCATTAATTTTTTCTTCGCTCTGCCTGTCTTGGTCAGGGAATCATTAGAGGGTAGTACGAGGGGTAGTACCACGATCGTAGTAAAAAATACAAAGAAAAAAAATTTAACAATAGTTTCTTACACCGCGACGTAATTATAAAAAAACAAACACAAAAACTTTAGATACGTTCTTATGCATATAATCTCTATTGACTCTCTCTCCACCCCTCACCTCACTCCTCGCGCCTCTTGTCTTTGCATATACACAATTCTCAAGATTACAACTGGAATGATCTTGGAGCTTCACCTTCTGGACCAATAAATTTAGGATCTCTCCAAGGACCAACATCATTTAATAATAATTCAGAATCAGTAACTTGAGATAATCCACCAAATTTAACTGGTAAATTTTGAGGAGGAATTTGTTTTAATAATTCACTTTGATAAGATGAACCTAAGATGAAAATCTTAGAAACAGTAACTGGATCTAAGAATGGTTTAAATAATTTGAATGCAGTTGAGAATCCAAATGGTGCATTGATTAAATAAAATTTACCCATTCTTTCAGGATAATAATCTTGACCAATTTTTGAAGCTTCTTTAACATAACCAATAACATTATATGCAGTTGTGATTGAAATACCTTTAAGATCTAAAATAGTACATGAAGTTTCTACTAAATGACCAGCTTTTCTAGAACATGCAGGTAAACGATATTCAACCATTGATTCATATTCCCAAACCAAATTCTTTAACATTCTTTCTTGAGTAGTAATTTTTAACATGGCATTTAAATCAACTCTTCCTAATTCTTCATAATAAACTGGACGACCATCTTTATCAGTCTTATGATAATATTGGGGATACATACTAGCAACAATTGGTTTTTCTTCATAATGGAAATCTTGAAAAATTGTATTTACACCAAATTCTGTTCTCCAATTTTCACAACTTATAAACATTTCTTTAGCTAATTCTAAATTAAACTTTCTTGCTCTAAGGAAACGTAATAAAGATGGATCATCTAATCTGTCAGTATAACCTAATTCTGTTAATGCTTTACGGAACTCTTCTAAGATTTGTTTTTGTTCTGCAGTTAAACTGGAAGTATAACCAGTTTGATCAGTTGGAGCATTGATTTGAGGATATGACGCTAAGATTTCTTCTTTGGATACGGTGGTCATCATGTGTATGTTCTATGTTCTATAAAAAAAATATGATAGTATTATTATTATTGTCTGGTATTAAGTGATAGGTAGGTTGCGGTTGTTGGGGGGTGTGGTTTGATGACTTGTGTGTTGATTTGTATGAAATGTGTAACTATAATTTTTTTTTTATTTGAAAATTTAATGGACAAATACAAAAAAAAAAAAGTTTTAGGTTGACCGACAAAAGTATAATTTTTATTAAACGTGTATTTTAGTTTGTTATTAAATAGGAGTGAGTGAAGTGTGGGCAGTGCGTGTAAAATATGCCAACTGTCTTTTTTTAATTGATTTTTGATTTTATCAATTGAATTCAATATGAAAACTATAAGTTATCTAACAAAGATTGAATTATATAAAGAGAAAGAAGAAGTGGAAGTTAAATAGCAAAGTTCTTTTTTATATAAAACGTTAAAACGGTGCTTCTATTTCCCGATATCGAATTTCTTTTTTACATTTCAGTTTTTTACACGTCACACTACCCAGTACTAGTCATCGTGATTCCCTCATCCCCATCAGCCCCCTACCCTGTGTTTATCTTTTTATCATAAAACACGTCTTGTTGTTTATTGCATTTCTATAATTGTTCAATAGGACTGTCTGAGTCGAATATACCTGAACGCTGTCTATGTTACTTAACGTCAATTGACATTGGTTTATGTCAGTTTGGTTCTCTCTTATCTAGACATCAGACGACATTTAATTTTATCTTCAATTACACAAAGTTTCTTTTTCTTTTCATAGCGGACGACATTTATTATTGAGACATTTATTACAAAGTTTATATTGCCGATACAGCCGACGATCATCCCACGCATCCCCAACCCCAGCCACTCGAATCATCACTTCGTTCTATCAAATACTCGAGAGTTGCTATGAGAAATTTGCCACCTTGAAGATTTCCTTCGAAGTTCTCCATGTTTATTGATAATCTTTATCGCGGAAAACATCTTTAGCGGATTGCTTGTATTTTTTTTTAAAATAAAATTGACGGTTTAAGTAACATTGCAGATTGCTTGGCTTGGGGAGATCTTAAAGCACATGCTTGGGATCTCAGTAAGTACACGTGAAAGAGTTGGAAAGCAGCGCAACAGTTGCACTGCCCTGTAATCCAATTGATGACTCGAAACAAAATCATTCATCCCTTAGAGGATAACAATAATAATTTGTTGCTTTTCGGTTATTTATTTTTTCGCAACCATTTTTAACTACAATAAGTTGCAAAAAAATTGCAAAATCATCTCAACAATTATTGTTCTAATAAAAATACGTAAATTACAAACATTATCTATCTAAGTATCTCTCTACTTACACTCTAACTCTTCCTTAACCATTTCTTAAATGGATTCTTTGAATTATTCTGCTTAGCAAAACTCCCCAAACTATGAGCACTAAAACTCATACTAACTCTACTTCCAATCTCGTTTCCAAATCCATTATTACCATTACCATTAGTCCCGCCACTATCAATAGTTGAACCTGTACTTTGTTGCGGGAATTTCAATTTCAAATGACTCAAAGAATGATGATCGGTTAATTTCTTATAATTATTCCCTGATCCATGATTCAAAGTTGGATCCATGATTGAAACTAGACAATTTCTATTGGTATCCAAATAACATCTATTCAAAATATCATAAGTGAAAGCTTCCCATAATTTCTCCAGTTTATAATTTTTACAATATTCAGGAGAATCTAAATAATTTTCAAGTTGTTTAATTTTCATCATTAATTTCATACTTTGTTTTTGAATATCTTTAAGGGTGATATTTGATTTTATGAATGAAAAAATATCTTCAGTTGATCCTGATCCACATAATGACTTTATGAATCCTTCTGTTTCGGCATCACCGGTTAATTCTAAAAATTCTGATTTTTCAAATTCTAATGACCCGATTTTATATACATTTTTCGCTTCATTAATTGAAATATCACTATTTGGACGAAGTTGGTTAATGCCATTCTGTCGGTTTAAATCAAGGGATGAGGAAATACTACTTGCAACTTGGGATGAAACAACTGGTGAACCTTGATATTTACTATAATCCAATAAATGAATGATTTCAGTCAATCTTAAACATTTATCAATTAAATATGGTGTAGTGGGTAATTCATCCGATTTCGATTTATCTAAACCTAAATCAAATCGTTTAACTTCATGAGATAAATCAAGGATTTTGGGATTAAAATCATTCTTTCTTCCCGTTATTTTATCAAAATAATCATAGATTTCCGATTGATGTTTTTGTAAAAAAGTATTCATTTTAGTCATGTATGGTTCTTTATGAATACTAAATTCAGTTCTATTAGCAAGATTTAGCAAAACTTTAGCTAATAATGTTAATGTTCTTTGTATACTTCCAGTTTGATGATTTTCTGTCAAATAAAACAATTTTGGATTTAAAATTGCTGGACAGAAAAATCGAAGGAATATAAATGCACTTAAACAATTCAATGAAGTTGTCTTGTCATCAGGTTCACAATTTAATTCAACTTTATTTCTAAAATTAGCTAATTGAGTCTTTATTTGTCGAGGTAAATCATTGGAAGTTGTATATATTTTATTCCAAAGTTCTTCAGAATAATTATATAAATTATTATAATTAGTTTCAATCATTTGTTTAATTTTGATTTCTCTTGCTTGTTCAGTATCTGAATCCACATCCGAATCGCTATCACTATCATCATCATCTTCCGCTTCTCCATCAAGATACATTGATTTCCCTCTTCTTTCAGCTCGTTCTTGTAATCTAACATATCTTGGATCAACTTCACAATTCTTATTCTCTTGATTCAATTTGGCAAAAAAATCACCAAACACTTTTTCCAAATACTCTTGACCAATTCTAAGATTATATTTCTCCAAAGATTTAGAAAAGATTGAACTTCCTCTAAATAAAGTATTAAATACATTATGTTGAGTAGCTAAGACTTTTGGTTTCTCCTCGCTATTTCTTTTAGATTGATGATAATAACTTCTTCTCGTAATTTTATCAACATTAACCAATTCAAATTCCATTAAACTTTTAAACCATTTTTCTTCCACCCCTAAACATTGGAAAATATCTAATAATATAACACTATATCTCTCCAATTCTTGAGGCGGTATTCTTTCATTACAAAATTTGATTAAAGGTTTCATCGGAGCATTAATTAACATGTTTTCCAATGGTTTGAATTGATTTGGTGGTAAGATATGACATTCTTTTAATTTTGCTTTTACTAATAATTTCCCAATCGGTAAATTATTGGTATCATAGATGGTTAATCTTACAATATCACTATTTGAAGTTGAATCCAAAGCACTAGTAGCCATGATTGTAGAATTTGATCCCACTTCTTTAATCAAAACATCAGGAGTAACATATACAGTTCCAATGATTTTATCAGTATTGGAATAATTTATATTCAGATATGTTGATTTTTTAATCAATATATGAATCATTTGAGTTGAGATTGGTAAATCAGTCAGAAATTCTTCTTTCCAGAATGGATTTAATGTATGATTGACAGCAACTGTTCTTGACCAAGGATATCCCCACATCCTAACTTCTGCATAGATTTTCCCTTCACTTCTGGTTGGATTATTCTCTTGATCGAATTTTGCTTCAATAATATCAATTGATACTTTTTTAGATACTCGGAAATACTCTTTGGTAAATTCATCAAGTTTTGGAGGAATTGGAACTACACCGACGGGTTCGGTATTTTCCTTCCCAATAAATTTTGTATCTGGACCAAATGAACCAATATATTCTCGTTTAGCAAAGTAATTTAATCCAACAAACCAATCTTCTAAATCTATATGTAATGGGAATTCAATTAAAATTCTTTGATTATTAGGAATAATTTTCCCATCTCTAGTTAAGAAATTATATTGAATATCCCCACCAATTGAAGATCTTAACATATTACTATTATTATTATGTCTTAATTCCTTTAAAATCCCAATAAATAATACATTTGAATTATTAAAAATTGAATGATGAATTTCTCTAATTTCACTTGACATAATTGATTTAATATCAATTGAATATAATAAAGTTCCATCTAATTCACTTATGAAATTTAATATTCCACTTGAATTTAAAGCACCCATAGCATAAAACCACCCTTCATTAATAGAATCACTATTTGCCAATTGTGTTTGAGAATGACTATCTAATCCATTCTTATCATCTATTTTAGGTTGATAAATTGGTGCTTTAGGACCAGCGACAATATTTAAGTTTTTATGTTTAAGTGGAATTGGACCAAATACTTTAAATCGACATACTAATAATTCTGATTGAGTAGGACGTTGTTCAGATTTATTTTCACAATACCATTTCTTACCTAAACCTTCAGGTTTTAAATTTTGCCATACTATTAAAGTACTTAATAAACAACCAAAATTAGATCGTGAAGGAATCTTGATATATAATTTATCATTTTCAAATGATTTAATAAAAATAACTGGAGGCGAATCTTCATTATCATCTGATGATCCACCATTACCACCACCACCACCAATAGCGTGATTATTATTTGATTTTTTTGACAGGAGTAATTTTCTTCTTGTACTTGTAGTTTGTTGTTCTTGTTGTTGTTGTTGTTGTTGTTGTTGTAGAGTAGTAGGTGCAGTTGGGTATATTTGTACATAACAAGACTGTAAAGACTTTAATAAAACATAATGTGATTGATTTTCATCAACTGATATTAATTGTCCTTCATTAGTGATAATTAAAGTTAATATAGGAATCCAATTAATTGAATCAGTAGATATAATAAAGTTATTACCTATGAATGTACCTTTGTCTCTTAATATGATTTTGTGATATGGAGATGGATATTTCATGTTTATTGGGATGTACTGGGTAATGATTGTAATGAATGAAGGATATGATGAGTTTGAGATATGTAGATTTAAACTAAGTGTAAGATAAATTAAAAAATAAAAATTTAATTTAAATTGAAAAGAACTTTAAAATAAAAATGATTCAATGTAAACTAATAAACCCAAAAAACTTTAAAAAGGAATGTGTGAGATGATATATAATGATTTAATATGGAAACTAATAATTGCTAATAAAAAGGTTAAAGAAATAGTTGTCCTTCTAGTGAGTTAATGGAAAAGATGTTACAAGTTACACGTTATAAAAATTTTTATTTGATTTCGTTTGATAATAAGTTTTTATTATTTATTTATTTATTTATTATTTTATTGTTTCGTTTAAAAAAATTTTATACTCGTCTGTCTCTCTTTCTATTAATTAAATTTTTTAGATTTATACTGGAGTACAGTAAAACAACCTTTTTATCCAAAGGGGGGGCATATTAGAAAGCAAACAATAGCTATGTTGTTTTAAATAAATGGTACAATATCCAACTACTATACGACCTTAACAAAGACCATTAGGTAATTTAGTTTATCGCAAATCTAAAATCTTTACAAAATCTATGACACAAAAGATGAGTTTTTCCTCATTGGGAAGCAATTGTTTCAGAAACAATAGACTTAAACAAACGTTTAAAAAAAAACAGGTACCAATAGAATAATTGGGAGTTACAATACAAACTTGTATGCGACACAAATGCAAAACTGCAAAAAAGTTAAATTACGTAACCAAGAAGACTTCATCATTTGCCTCAGTTGACAAGAGCCAACTAAATTTAAGATGATCCACGTAACCTTAGATCTTTATTTACAGTACTCAATTTTGGAGGAGAAGCGAGAATGATCTGTTAGTATTCAAGAACATCTTCCGAAAATCCTCCAATAATCCTCGTGCAACCAAGCATTCTTCAAGCTTTGTGCTCTACTCAAAGCCCTTTAAGCAATGGAATACTTAATCAGCCATAGAAATGTTCCTGCGCATGTCCTTATTGGTAACTGTCAAAAAAGTTCTTCGTACTGTGAAACTGCTATTACATAACCACTAATAAAATATAAAGGGAATGAAAATCATTCTAAATACTCGATAGAGACTTATCTGCAATGTGAGTCAATCATAGAATCAGATCCTTTTCGCGCTACCAAAATATCTGTTAAATCTTTTCCGGCTACCAAATGTAACACCTAAAGCCCGGCCAGAATCTCAAAGCTTTACAATCAATCCAAAAAATCTACGGGGAACCGGTCGGTATAAAACTTAGTTCATTATTTGATCACTTTCGTTACTCTAATCTAGGATAGCCCCCTATAAACAAGAAAATGTGGTTCTTTTTATCAAGGGTCTTACTGTGGATCAGAAAAAGAAAGGCACATAGTGCAAACAAATTGTCGTGTGCTTACCAATCTCTCACAACAAAATTTTTTTTATTTTTTCTTTTTGAATTTTTTTTTATTTATTTTGATATGTTCATCTATCATCACATTCAACATTTCAAGAAGTAATTTGATTCCAAAGGAGTTTTATAATAAAGGGAGAATACAACTAGACTATTCCATCTACTATTAAACTATTCACAAATGTACTAAATTAGTTTTAAAACCTAAAAACAAAAAATACTTCTAGATAACCCCACCGCCTTCCTTTCAAAAACCAAAAAAAAAATTAGGAAAACAAAAAGACAATGAGTAATTTACTTTTTCAAAGTTTTAATAGCAATGGGATTGATGATTTATCATCTGCAGCTACTTTCTCAAGCGCTGCTTCCGTTAATGGATCTGATAATGATTCAGATAATGCCACTATAAACCAAGATGATTTTTTACCTGGTCATGGCGCTGAGCATAGCCATAGTCATCACCGTGATGATATTACTAATGATATTGATTCAGATAATGAATCACTTAAAGTCGACGATATGTTTGATGATGAACCACGTTATGATCATGAATGTTCATATTGTCGAGTTCATACCCCAAGTTCACTTGTCAAATGTAATACATGTAATAAATGGTTTTGTAATGCCAAAACAAACTCATCAAGTTCCCATATTGTGACTCATTTAATTATGTCTCGACATAATCAAGTCAGTACCCATGAAGAATCAGATTTAGGTGCTACCACGTTAGAATGTTATAATTGTGGAAATAAAAATGCATTCATATTAGGATTTGTAAGTGCAAAACAAGAATCAGTTGTGGTTATATTATGTCGATTACCATGTGCAAGACAAAAAGATATGCATTGGGATACAACCCATTGGCAAGCCTTGATTGAAGATCGTCAGTTTTTATCTTGGGTTGCCCCTCCACCACCTGAAGATGATTTAATTAATGCAAAATTAATCACCCCTCAACAAATTTCAAAATTAGAAGCACAATGGAGATTGAACCGTGATGCTACTATTAATGATCTCGAGAATAATGATGTCGAGGAGGAAGAAGTGTTGCCGATTTTGATGAGATATAATGATGCTTTCCAATATCAAAGATCGTTTGGACCTTTGGTTAAATTAGAAGCTGATTATGATAAGAATTTAAAAGAATCTCAAGCTTTAGAACATATTCAAGTCAAATGGGCCCTTGGGTTAAATAATCGTCATTTGGCAAGTTTTACTTTATCTACTTTTGAAACCAGTGATTTGAAAGTTGCAGTTGGTGATGAAATTATTTTAAGATATAGTGGGAATCAAGGTGATCCTTGGGAAGGTAATGGATATATTTTAAGATTGCCAAATGCTTATCAAGAAGAATTCACCTTGGAATTAAACCCATCTAAAACTACCCCGCCAACTGATTTAACTACTGATTTTACTGCTGAATTTGTTTGGAAAGGTACGTCTTATGAACGTATGCAACAAGCCATGAAAGATTTCGCCACTGAGGAAGAATCCGTGTCTTCATACATTTATCATAAGTTATTAGGTCATGAAGTTGAACCTATTCAATTTGATATTGAATTACCCAAGCGATTCTCCCATCCTAAATTAACCGAATTAAATGCATCTCAAACAAATGCAGTCAGGGCCGTTTTACAAAGACCTTTGTCCCTTATTCAAGGTCCTCCAGGTACTGGTAAAACCGTAACATCAGCCACTATTATTTATCATTTATCAAGATTAAATAAACAAAAGATTTTAGTTTGTGCTCCTTCTAATATTGCTGTTGATCATTTAGCGGCAAAATTAGATCTTTTGGGATTAAATGTTGTTAGATTAACTGCAAAATCTAGAGAAGATGTTGAAAGTTCAGTAAGTCATTTAGCCCTTCATAATATCGTCAATGCTACCGCCAAGGGTGAATTAAAAAAATTAATTAAATTAAAGAGTGAAATTGGTGAATTATCAATTGAAGATTCCAGAAATTATTTAAAAAATTTACGTACCAGTGAATTAAAAATCTTAAATAAATGTGAAATTGTATGTTGTACATGTGTTGGAGCTGCCGATAAGAGATTATCACAATATGATTTCAGAACTGTTTTGATTGATGAAAGTACTCAAGCTTCCGAACCCGAAATCTTAATCCCAATCGTCAAGGGAGCCAAACAAGTCATTTTAGTGGGTGATCATCAACAATTAGGTCCAGTTATTTTGGACAGAAAAGCGGCCGATGCAGGTTTGAAACAATCCTTATTCGAAAGATTGGTCTTTTTGGGTCATGTACCTATAAGATTGGAAGTTCAATATAGAATGCATCCATGTTTATCTGAATTCCCAAGTAATATGTTTTATGAAGGGTCATTACAAAATGGTGTTACTTCTGATGATCGATTATTAGAAGATTCAACTTTCCCTTGGCCTGTCATTGATACTCCTATGATGTTTTGGGCTAATTATGGACGTGAAGAATTGAGTGCAAGTGGTAATTCCTATTTAAATAGAGTTGAAGCCATGAATGTTGAAAAAATCATTACTAAGTTATTTAAAGATGGAGTTTCCGCGCTGCAAATTGGGGTTATCACTCCTTATGAAGGTCAAAGAGCCTATTTAGTTCAATTCATGTCCATGAATAGTACATTATTAGATAAACGTGATCAATATCTCGAAGTTGAAATCACCAGTGTTGATGCGTTCCAAGGTCGTGAAAAGGATTTCATTATTTTGAGTTGTGTTCGTGCCAATGAAGCTCAAAGTATTGGATTCTTGAGTGATCCAAGAAGATTAAATGTCGCATTAACAAGAGCTAAATATGGTTTGATTGTCTTGGGTAATCCAAGAGCCTTATGTCGTAATCGATTATGGAATCATTTATTGGTTCATTTCAGAGAAAAAGGATGTCTTGTTGATGGTCCTTTGGATAATTTACAATTATCAATGGTTCAATTAAACAATACAAAGGGTAATTATCGCCCAGGACAAAAACCACCTAAATTTGGAGCACCTTCAACTAGTTATTCAGTAACTGATTTTGATAGTGCAAGTATTGTCTCATATGATAATAGTGCCATTAATGGTAATCGACCATCTAATAAAATCCGGGAAGAAATGTGGCCAAGTTTGAATAAATCAGTTGGTGATGCTTATGATGCTAGTAATACTTTATCGGCTAACTTTTATAGTAAATTGAATGCCTTGAATGGGAATTATGAAGGTGGAAGATATAATGTTGAGAATATTGAAGATGATATTCGTAGTATTACTGGGTCGTTTGCGGCTGGATTTAATTTTTAGGTCGACGGGTGGTGATTCACACTAAAAGAAAGAAAGAAAAAAATAGTGTCGTGTATAGTAAGAACCATTTTATATTAACGTTTGTAAATTTCCAATAGAGAGAGTGTATAGTTTTATTAATGTAAATATTTGTAACTTCATATGATAATTTTCAACACAGCCTGTATTTGGACAATCGATTCTTCCATAGGATATCAAAGACCGAGGGATATACTAGGGAACTGACGCGATACAATCAGGTTTAATGCCTGAACATTAGACGGCATTTGAGGTACGGCACTTACGACAAGTTGCTTGGAGACAAGTATAACCGAGTTAACTTTAGTTGCTACCTTAGAATCAGAATAAAAATGCAGGTACGTTTTGAAGTTCCTATAATTCAATTGGTCGTTCATTCATGCATGAAATTGTTTGATGACGCGTAATTATGAGCTTCGGGAGACTAAGAGACAATTCTATGTTTCACAAAGCCGTAGAATATGCAACTTACAAAAAATAATCTAATTAGTTGATTTAAGATTCAACATGCAAAATAAATTTCCTAACGATCTCTATTGTGGAACAAAGGATAGATATGTGCAAAGTTGATCCAGGAGTACAATATTAAGGAAACTGACTTGGTACCAAACTGATTAAAAAAGAAAAAGTGTCGTATATTTTATGTGGGAGGAAACTGCGACTAGTGACACGAGGGTCAAAGAAATTTGATTAATTAAAAAATAAACTTGACAGGAAAGCGAAAACAATTGGAAATGTAATTCCGACAATTGAATCATTTTGTAATTACATTTTCTATTAACAATGGAATTTACTCAACAATTTCATACACACGAAATACCAACCATAATTACAAATGTAAGCTTATGCACGTGATGATTTATTTTAAGGTACAAATCAGAAAATGTAAGATTTCTAGTTACTGGTTGACTAAAAACATAAGGGGGATTTGCTTATGTTCGAAACGACAGAAAGTAGTGCCGACTTACTTAAAAAATAATCGTGAGTCATGAAGTGGGGAGGAACCTCTTCTTAATCAGAACAAAGTAGAATATCATAACAATGACGATATTGTAGTCTCTTAGGTACTTGTTCTTTTTAGGGAAATAGATATACCAAATTAGCCTCTTACTTATACTTCAAAGTTCGGAGTTTCCCTCCAGAATTCCACTGTTACCAACCCAGTTTTCCATTTTATCTGCCAATAAGATTTAGTTTCTTTTTGTTGTCGGTTATGCGTGTCATGCTAATTACAAATAATATTTTTTTATAATTTTCTATTTTCTATTTTTAACTTGCATTGGGAATTACATAAGAACACGATACAAATAAAATAAAATAAATTTAAAAATTGATTTTTGAAATATTTTTAATTATTAGGCGGCTTTTTAGGGGTAGAAAAGGGAATTACTCCATAGTCTCTCAGTGAAAATTACCTTACTTAACAATACACTGAAAAACGTTTCATAGCAATTGAAAATAAATGGACTTATGAAAATTCATTAATATTGGAAGTAGTCAACATGGAATTACCTAATTAATTGTCGTATGATCCTTATAGATATTGTGAGTATTAATTATGTAGAAGGACAATGGAGCTTGAGATAATATATGCCGTGGTTATCAATGTGTAATTAAAAATAATAAAATTTAAAATATTTAATTTTAATTCCTCCAACCCCCTAATTCTTGTGTATTTTAATAGAAAAATGGAACAGAGAAATAAAAAAAAAAAACAATTTTTATCCATGGAGTAATTATGTTTATTGTTTTGATTTGTTTTTTCCTTTACTTACAACTGTACTTCCTCACACTTTGACTCGCACCATTTTTTTTTGTTTTTTTTTAAAGATTTTTTCATACCATTTTCCTATAATTCCTTTTTCTTTGCATCTAAAACGAATTATATTGATAAATTGTTTATCTCTACTTGGTAAGATATAGCAATTGAACTTAGGATAAACATTGTTAGTGCAGGTGCAAAAAAAGAGGACAAAGAATTGATCGTGTGAACGATTGTTGAAGCAAATTGTATGAAAATGTCTGAAACTGGGTCGCTAAAAAGAGAAGCACTAACAATTAACTTGGAAGAAGTTAGTGAAAGTAGTAGCAATGACAGTAATAATGTCGCCAGCGCTGTCAGTCCTAATAGAGATGACCCTGCTGATCATAGTATTGTAAACACTAGCATGCTTGATTATAATACATCACAATTGATTACAGACACTCCTGTAAGTCCAACAGCAACTGCAACTCAAGCAGTTGTTAATGCGTCAGGCACTCCCATAAGGAATCCTAATAGATCTAAATTATCAGTAAAGGATATCAGATTAATCATGTATCTTATTATTCATATTAAACCATTTAAATATATAGGGAATCGTTCATTTAGTCAAACTAAAAAATGGGAATTGTTGCAAGACAAATATTTTGAAATTAGAAGTCAAGAAACCAATAGCGAGAACTTCTCAGTACCAACTATTAGAACTTTACAACGTCAATTGGCAGGTGCAATAAAGAAGGCTCGTGCGAGACGTAAGAAGGATGAAGAAATGGGTGTCGTACGATCACATATCATACCTTCAACATTGGATGCAATTGAAAAGGATGAGTATTATGATTATTCAAGGATTGAACCCGATAGTTCATTGGCTGAAATGGAAGATGCTGTATTTGATTTACATGAAGTTAGCGAAAAAATTAAAATAATTAAAGTACAAAATTCTCAAAGCACAAAACAAGAAGAAGAAAACCAAGAGTCATACATTCCAGCAAGTTCATCAAGTAATTTAGCTAATATTATTACTTCTTCGTTGGCTACTGCAAGCGCACCTGTTGTCGCTTCTGGTGTAACTCCAAATTTAAACGCAGAACAACAAGCCAAAAAGACAAGAGCTAAAGATGAAGCAATATTAAAACAAATTACCCAACTTAAAGACAATATGCTGGTTATAGATGAAGACCAAACTTTTACTAAAGTGTTTAAAATTTTCGAAGAAATAGTGAAAGCTTCAAATGAAAATGAATCATTAATTTTAAATGAAAACTCCACATTTAAAGCACAGATTGAAAATTTGACATCTGAACATTTTAAAAAAATAAATAACATTCATGAAACTCATTTATCTAGACAGCATGAGTTTAACAAAAAATTGGTTGAGTTAATAAAGAGCAAATGCGAAGATAATGAGAAATTCCAACTGATTATTGGTGATCTTGCATCACTTAGAGACTTGATTGATTAAGGAACAAGAACATTTTGTATTATTACCATAAATTTTAGTGTATATTTTTGTATTCAATAAAACAGTCATCGCTTTTGAAAAGCTATGGCAAATGCATGGAAAAGTTAGAGCATTGAACAATCTCTGAATTTATCACTGTCTTTTTTGACACAAGGGGTGATTGTAGGACGGGTACACATTTCCGCATCTGGTATCGCCGTTTTTTTCCGGCGCATACAAAATTTTGCAACAACTCTTTTTTCTAACCAATAAATCCATTACTTCCATAGTTGTAGATTATAAACAATCATCTATTAATCAACAATGATACTCAATTGGATAGTAATAATAACTTTAATCAAAACTGTTATCACCTTCAAAGAACAACATCTACCTTATTATCCTCCAACAGAATTAGCAATTAGCGATGAAGAGCTTGTTAATCGCGCAGTTGCTGAGTTACACAATATAGACGCCGCTAGTGATTTAAATGAATGTATGGCTTGTAAAACAAGATTACAAGTTGCAAAATTCCTATCCTTAACTAGACCAGACTTAGTCCCTCAGATATTTTCAACTTGGTGTATTGAATCAGGGTTTGATGACATTCAATGTCAAATGAATTATGGATATCCCAGTGAAGAATATTGTTCCAGCGGTAATGATTTTGCAAAATTAGTCAGTTTGATGAACCCAAGTGGATCAGATGGAGATTTATTCTGTTATTATCATGACAAGAGATGTCTGATATTACCAGAATTACCAATGTTCAATTTAGATAAATTGTGGCCACCAAAACCAAAAAGTTATCCAGCTCCAGAAAATAGTGGGACAACATTCAATGTTTTACATATTAGTGATATCAACCTCCAGACTGACTACAAAATGTTCTCAGAGGCTAATTGTTCCCAAAGTTTATGTTGTGCAGCTCATTCTAAGAATATAAATACTCCTCCAATTATTAATGAAAATCTCGAAGGTGGCTATTATGAAAGTAGTTACAGCAAGAATCATTTTGAAAAGGGGCAGTATCAAGATATAAGTAAGATAAAACAACTCATGTGGTCTCCAGCAAGACAATTTGGTGAATATGAATGTGACACTCCAATGTTGTTATTAAATAGTACAATGCTGGGTATTAGAGATTTGCATCAGAATCACTTATCATTTGAATTTGCAATTTTTACTGGTGGGACTGTTGATCACTCAGATAGGAGTTATTTAACCAAGAATAAAGTTTTGGCTTCACAAGAGAAAAGTTACAAAATATTGAAACATTACCTTGATGATGTTCCTGTAATTCCAACATTTGGTACTAGAGATGTATTTCCGATTAATCAATTACCTCAGAAGAACCTTACAGATAATCTGCATAGTTATCAATGGCAATTCGATTTCCTTGCTGATTTATGGTTGGAATTAGGCTGGATTGATTTTGATGCTGCTAAACAAATTAGATATTCACAAGTTGGATTTTCATTAATCACTTCTAGAGGTCTTAGAATCATTTCATTAAATTCGAATGTTTGGAATGTCAAAAACTTATATGCGTTTTGGAACACTCTTTCAATTGATCCTTTTGGAATTTGGAAGTTCTTAGTTGATGAATTACTCCAAGCTGAAAAAAATCATGAAAGAGTATGGATTTTAGCCCACCTTCCACCCAATCATCAATCATTACCATTACCAACTAGTGTCTTTGCCAAAATAATTGAAAGATTCTCTCCAAAAGTCATTGCTGCTATATTCTTTGGAAATATTCAAGTGGATACGTTTATGGTTCAATATGGTGGTGATGGAACCAACCCCAAAGAATTAGCTAATGCTATAAACCATGCATTAGTTGGACCTTCAATAAGTCCATTCTCAGGTTTAAACCCTGCTTGGAGATATTATACAGTTGACACAAATAGTTTCAGCGTTTTGAATTCATTCACATATTACACTGATCTTGAAGCCACGTTCCATAATGATGGCGCAGAACCAGTTTGGGACTTTGGTTATTCTGCTAGAGATGTGTATGATCCTGATCAAATGTGGCCGGCTGATTGGGCCCTAAATACTGAATGGTGGCATCATGTTGGGGAAAAAATTCAACAACTGACTGAAATGCAAGTTACTTTCCAAAAGAATGAAAATCGTGGTAGGGAAGTTCATGATTTAGATCCAGATATCCATTGTAGAGTCACTAGTTTTACTATTCCTTCTAGGAAACAATGTATGATAACTGATGATCAAGATGATCATATAGAACCTGTGGAGCCTAATGATTATATCCCGTTATTAAGACCAGATGAAAAAGTTCAATATATCGAAAAGGTAGGAGATGATACAGATAATACTGGTGTTTGGAGGTCCCGGGGTACTGCAAATGAAACATATGTAACTGAGTTGGATGATTTGGCACAAGTTATGCAACCTTCCAATGTAAAGAAACGGAAGGGCAAGAATATATCTTTGAAAGATAGAGTTAGAGAGAACAACGTTAGAATCTTGAACGAATTAAATAATCATTTTTAACTTGATGACTTTTGCTAAACTTTAGTTTTCCTATGATTTGTATATGCATATAATTATTTACAGAAATAAAATAAAATATAAATGAAAAATGAATTAATATTTGCTTGTAGAGCAAGGAGAAGCGATCGGTTTTCCGATTTTCCTAGCGATATCTCCAACTCTCACTATCCAATAAAATTCTTCAGTTTGCATTGTTATGTCAAAATATTACGTCAATACTTGGTACTAAATCAGCTGAAAGCTGCCTCGGGGGGATTTCGAACCAATTCATATTCCTATTTAGGAAACTCTCAGTACTTTAGTAACAATCTCTCTTTGTCTGTTGAAGGCGCCTTGCCTGGTTGTTGATGACGGTGGGGGGGAACTCAAGGTTCAAAAAAATATTTTATTTGCGTTCCTTAATTATAACACAAAACAATTATCCGGATAGAAAATAAAATATTTTCCCGCATATTTTTTAAACCATATATTTTCTGTGCCTAAGGCAACCAAACAACCGAGGTGGTAAACGAAGCTTTTCTATGGCTTCTTCATCGAATAATTAGTTCAGTTGTTCTTTCAGTTAGGCATAAAAAATGAATGTGAAAAATCCTTCACAATGTCCTCTTTCCCTTTTAGGCAATCGTTCAGTTCATCCATTGTTCTTCTCGATGCAATCTCGAAGCAATATTTTTAAAATCTGGGGAAATCGTACGCATTGACAGGTCTTGAGGCAAAGGTTGTGTTGTCATAACATACACAAAATTCTCCTTGCGTCAACGAACAGAAAAAGACAGAGAGATAGAGATTTCCCTAGCAAGATGCTTTTCCAAGACAAGATTTTAAGGTTTTTTTAGTAAATCTTAAATAGAGTTTTGAGTTAATTATTTATATTTTTTATTGTATTACAAATGTCCATTCTAATATACAGAACAATAATATATACCTACCCAGTAGAATTAAAAAGAAAATAAATAAGTGTATATGAAAGGGTGTTGTCTTAAACCCAAAACCAATAACAATCTTTCCCGACAAAACCGTTGTAAAAAGCATCTATAAAAGTATCGTACTCTAAAAGTAACAACCAGCGAAATCATAGTAGAGCCATGCCTACTCTTGGGTATCAAGTAACAATTGATCAATTCCACAAGGCTGCAACAATGAAAAGTCAAGATCCTTATTATTTAAAGCATCGAAATAGGATAAATCAAATATGTCAGGTTGATAGCTGTTACCAAGACCGAAGGAAATTGGTGGCTGCAAACTAGTTTCATCCACACCGAAGGCACTAACTTGACTAACCGGAGTGAGCAATTGCTCTGGGAAATTTCCCACGCTGGATGACCTTTGTTGATTCCGACGTTGTGGCTTCTTGATTGAAGCTTCAGAACCTGATCTTCCATGTTTCTTTGGACCAGTATAAGATTTGAATTGGAACTGACCAGCAGTTTTCTTCTTCTCATTTGATCTTTTGGCTGACTTTGGAGTTTGGTTGAATGTGAATTGACTATTTATAGGAGAAAGTAATGATAATTCTATTTCTTGTTGAATCTTTTGAGTTTGTAATTCAAGTTGTTTTCTCTGTTGCTCTTGTAATTGTTGTTGTAACTGTTGGATTTGCAAATACTGTTGAATCATTGCCTTTTGATAACCAAATAACTGCTGTGATAACAGATCTTCGAGAACAGGTGGTTCTGGTTGGAATGGTTGAGGCTGTTGTTGCTGTTGAGAAAAGTCAGGCACGACAAAGCCAGATTGATTCCAGTCAAGGCTGATTCCCAAACCAGCATTACTTATTGATACCAGATTTGATGAGTTGGTTTGATCAAAGAAATAGTTGTCAATACTTGAGAAAACAGAATCATTGTCACTTGAAGTGTTTGTTTCACTTGCATCAGGGGAATCAAATAAGTTTGTAGATTCATCGACCGACATCGGAGGAGAAGGAAACTGCATAGCTGGTGTGATAACATTTGGAGAATCTTCCTTTTCCAGTATTTCTGACTTAACTGGTGATAAATCAACAAACACAAAATCCTTGGGCATTCCCGGTTTGTTCTTGGGCCTCTTCAAGGAAGGTCTTCTTGCAGAAAAAGAACCGTTAGCAGCAGTAGCAGCAGATATTTGTAATGAGTTTTTCAAACATTCCAACGAAGTCTGTGAAATAGCTGAGTTATGTGATGCTTGAGAAGTTGAGGTAGATCTCTTAACCCTCCATAACTTCTTCCCGTTAGCAGGTGGTAATACGGTGCTAGATTTATACTGTTAGTATCGTGATAGTAGTAACTTTGTTTTCATGTTGTACGTACTTTTTAGAATGCATTATAAGTCTTTGTTTAAGGTTTTTAATCTAGATAAAGTCTGGATAAAAGAAGCAAGGTAGAATTTAAGTTTTCGATTCCAATTAAAAGTCAGAAATTTCCACGAGTATATATAGTTTTCGAACTTGTGTTAATTTGCGGCCAAAGATGTCGACAAGACCACAATATCTCCTTTAACCGATTTACTTCTGTACAATCATAAACAATGAACTCTGTAAGACAGGAACCTTCCTGTTGTAAACCATCTGGCCTAATTGGGCAACTGGTACAAAAATTGAGACAATTTCTATTCATTAAACAAATAGATTTCTTTTAATTAAACTGCAATCAAACGAAAAAATATTTTATTTTTTTGAAATTATTTTATATGTTAGATTGCTAAAACCCTTAAATATTTTTTGGAGTAAGTCCGTTATTTACGGTGCGGACGAGATTTTGTACGAGGAAAATGACTTCCACCAATACTTTACGATGACTCTTGAAGTACACCATTGCAAATCAGCCTCTAAATAATGATAAAAAAGATTGTTAGAAGAGAACAAAGTTCCAAATGTGACATTTCACCTCGGTCAGATTATTATAATGCAAAGTTGTACATAAGTCGGGAATTAATTAATAAATTAATTAAATGCTTTGTCTAAGAGTATTTCAGAAGGACAAAGGTGTTTGCAAGATATGTAAACCCTGATCACGGAAAGATAATCCATCTCGTCCACCTTCAAGTTGCAAGGTCCACAGAAGTTTCCATTGAACGTCCAATTTTGAATTCTTAAGTTTGTGTAAACAACTTCACAATATTTCCAACGCCGAGTAATACCAGTTAGGCAACTCACTAAGATTAGCCATGGTCGAGTTACAAAGAAAATTAGGTACCCCCCACCCTAGGCGGTACACCGATGGGCATTGTAATGAGTCTCCACTTTTCCATCCTTGCCATCTTAATAATAGAATTATGCAACTTTTTTTTCCCACATATTTTTTAGATTGTAAATAAATTAAAAAATAATTTAGGATTGCTGCAAAAAATGCGCATAAAAAATATTTCTTTCAAAGTAAAATATGATGTACAAAAATTTCTGGAATTTGGCCGTGCTCGGCAAAACTTGTTACGGGTTTATCGTCTAGTAGCATATCTATATACTCTCCTATACATACTCTGAAGCAAAATATGTTCAGAAATGTCAGTTCGTTTTGTGTATGGTTGCATAGTGTTCCCAACCACTTCCCCTCGAATAACTGTTCTCAAATAAACCATAAACTCAAGCTAAAATACTACTCAAACGAGGTTAAGAATCCCGGTGGTTACCGTCTTGTATTTTTTTAGGGGGGAGAAACTGTGGTAGACTCATTGGACATAGGGTGTCGTACAGACAATACTGAGCTCCGAACTTTACCCCATTATTCTACCCCGCGATAAGGAAAGAACAATTCGCGGACTAACTTTTATTTTAAACCTGTGGAATCAAATGTCCTGTGATTTTCTCCTAAACAATCTCCTAAAATCTCCGAAGAACCTTCAAAGGGATCTACTACTCCGATTTTGGACAGTTAACACACTTCTCTATCCGTTCCAATGAACCAATTTATCAAGAAACGGACCTGATGGTTTACGAAGGTCATCAGAATGTGTTTTGACAAGTGCTGTTGTTATATCCACTTACATGACGTTGACAAGTGTCCGTAATCAAATATACCTCTGTAATGATTCTCCTAAGTTTAGGAGGCGAGAAAGAACAATACGATCAGAATTTCTTTTCAACGTGGGGCAGAAGTTGAAAAATTAACTCCGTCATCAAACTTAGACATCTATGAAAAGAAAAGGAGAAACAACTGAAACATGTACTCTCAATGTTTCTCCTTTGAACCGACTTGTGAGTTCATATGGAAGAATCTTGACCACTGTCATGAATCAAGTGGTCGCAAATAACATTGCTGACATTCTATTGAGGTGAAAGTGCTCTCAAGTTTGTTTGAGGTTGTCATTTTTGTGTAGCCGTCTGACGTATGACTCATCACATTCCAGGAGAAGGGGACTTCGCATTCCAAGGGACCGTTGATTATTATGGTGATTTCAATGGACTACATCCCGAGTTGAAGGATTCAAACACTAGGTACTCGGTGCTAGTTCATCAAATAACTCACACAGATTCATCTAAGCCATATTTCCCTAATTCGCCCGACTGCATGTGAGTCCATGATTGTTTAGTATAATTGTAATGGAAAGTGTATAAAACAAACAGCCCATCCCCTCTTCCCTTGCATTATTGATTTTTTCGATTATTACAATGGCTGAGAAAGACTCAAAAAAAAATATCAGTGTGGAAAATAAAGTTTCAAACAGGCTTAACAAACGGACAAAAAAGAAATCTGAAAAGTCCGGGGTAATGAATGCTTCCACAATTAGAGGGATTCAATCGCTTCAGCTTTTTTAAAGAAGAAACATCTTAGATGTCAGTAATATACCTTTTTTAAGCTCCAGAATAAGAATATGACTCTAAAAATAGACGTTTGAACAAAAATATTTAAAGGGATGTCGATTTTTATTTTCGTAGCGGAAAATCAAATTAATCCGTCATAAATATTTTTTTGGTCCCTACAGTCGCTAATACTTTCAAATTGTTCCAATCTCAAAATATTTTTTTTGCACGGCAATAAACTAACATTGCGAGATTGTTTCCAAATATTATTTGCGGCCTTAACATATCATCATCCGGGGGAATTACGGACTATAAGCCATTACAATACATTTAAGTGTAATTGTTTTGTGTTATGTGTATGCTTTTCTAAATTGATGTCTAATTTGAAATACGTTTTAAAATTCATTGTTTCCGTTAATAGATTTCCTAAATAGGTCTCAGTTGCCATATTGGGTGAACATGAGTAAATTAGGGTAGCTGTTTGTCAACTGTGCAAATAACACAAATAACTCAATTTATCGATTATTAACAATGCCATTATCACATGCAAGTTCGTTCCACAAACTGTTTAGTGATCAAGTTGCGGCATTTGCAGATACGATGGATCTCAATGACATAACGTCAATTCTTTCTGCCATAATTGGTTCGTTATGATCTAGACACCTATTATACAGGCGATGCCAAAATGTGTAGGTGGGGTCAATTTGGAATTGGCAGTGTTATCGTTATTCTTTATACATATGCATTCAAATTGACATAACAATAGCTCGAGAAGTTAGTAGATAATGCACGCAGACATGCGCCTCGGTGGATCAGAAAACAGCCAAAGTAAAATGTCGACATCCACGGATAGATTCCATTAAAAACAAAACACTTCGAAAAGGACTAGGAAAAATTTCCAGCTCTCTCTATTGCTGATAACTTGAGCATTTCCTCATAGATCAAGAATCTTCCTGATTTTTAGGTGCCAAATCGATCAATTTCAAATTTAGACTATCGTTGTTCCGCGGTCTAGTCACTTTCAACAACCAAACTCTGAATTCGGAATATCTCCACCGTTTGCTTCCCAAAAGACAAATCATAGCAGGACCCTCCAATAATCAGAACCAAGCTCCCCCGTAGCTATATTGAACCACAGGAAATCAATAGAAGCAAAACAATAGGTAAAGCATGCCTGAGAATTCGGATACAATATAATCCTTCGTTGGTGACCCTCTATGAGTGCCAGCTACAAGCAGTTTCCATTATATCTAATTAGCATTTCCAGCAGTAATTCATGTTTATGCTGGTAAAAGCTTGAATTACCCTGCTGGAGTCAAACCGAAGATACGTTAGAGAAATTTTCATATCATCATGCACTAGCAAGTGTATGAAATCTTTCTACTACTGGTCATTTTTGGAAGTCCCCAGGCAAGTATTTGCGACGGGTAGGAATGAAGAAACGTAGATACATACAAAATAACAGCTCATTGGTTATTAGTTTAGTTTGGTGATTGCTCGTTTCAAATACATTTCTATAAGTTTTCGTTATTTGAAGAACGACAAAGATATCTCATCAAAGCTTTCCGTATATGCGGCGAATAAGTCCTTTAATTAGTCCTTTGAGCCAGAGTAATAAAGCCAGTTCGGGAAATAATTGCACTATTTTACGTCTGTGCTTCTAGATTCTCAAATTAAAGGATGCTGGCTTGGCCATATCTATAAGTTCGCATCATTTGCAGAACGAACAAGATATCTCACCTGAATCTCCCGTATATGCGGCGAACAAACCCTTTGACCTAGAGTAATAAAGCTGGCTTTGGGAAACGATTACACCATTCTCACATACTTCGATATTTCAAATCTATGCTTCAGGATTCTCAAATTAAAGGATGCTGATTAATTGTAGAGTATGGCTTCGTAATCTGCATTCTTGATTCGTTTAACTTAAGCGTCAAAACATGGCTGAATTTGAATCTTTATTACAAGGAAGGTTTATGAAGGTACTTAGTATGATAAGATGTGCCCTGGATCAAGTGCATAACTCGAGTTGGCAAGAATTTTGTTGAAGTTGCCGTTCTAAATAGTGTGTAATAGCTATTCATGTTGCAATGAATGAAGGTCGGAGAAGCAGATCCCAAGAAGGATGCCTTGCATCAAAGTCCCATTCAGTGGGTATCCATCAGTTATTGTAAATAATTTAACTCTATTTGATTAGTTGCACCCGTATTTCCTACTTTATAGATTTAATTTGATTATATTGTTACACTTTTATTGTCTCAAATAACAATCTATATACATGAATACGATAAATAACAACATCAAATCTTCTCCGTTGGGAATGTCATGAAATGCCTTTACTGTAGCACATTGATATGCTGGAAATGCTCTATAGAGCCTACAATACCTGGCACATTAATCGAAACTTCGTAACAGATAGCCTCATCTTCAATGAAATATTTCTATTATTTGGAATCATCTAGTTTTGTTTCTTGAGCCTTTGCCTTTTCAGCTTCTGCAAGAGCTCTTGCCTCCAATGCCTTCCTCATCCTCTCTTTGGCTTCTGGTTTATAATCTAATGTCGTAGTTTCAAGTACTGTCATGTTGAACCCCACCTTTTCTCGTTTTCTTCTTTCAACTTCTTCTGGAGTATGAGGGGTATATGTGACAAATTCGAGATCCTTTCCTGTTTCTTTTACAACCCAAGCACCTGCCGCTATGGCAACAATAGCCACGATGGCTCTTTGCATCATACTTGGTGTTCTTTGAGACATATTTCCTGGATATTTATCTATGTGTGTATACCGTAAAGATGGGGATGAGGCTAGTGGTATATATACGATATTCAACCAGGGTTCTTTGCTTAAGCTTTTTTTTTCTGGTTATATTTTTGTTAGTTTGCTCATTCTCTCACGAGACTCCATTTCATAATTAATTTTCTGGTGTTGGTTGGTTCAAATTTTGAAACACCCTTCTTCTTTTAATCCCGCCCCCCTTACTGTGATTTTATTATTTGGTAACCACATACCTTTCAAGGTCAAACAACAATACAATAGATTATCAATAGAGATAAATCCATTAGACATCATTATACCACCATATCCACTTTAGATCAATACAGATAAAATATGGCTGCTCTTCCTAAAAGAATTATCAAAGAAACTGAACGTCTCGTGAGTGATCCAGTCCCAGGAATCACTGCTATTCCATCTGAAGAAAATCTTCGATATTTTGAAGTCACAATAGATGGACCAAGTCAATCACCATATGCTAATGGTATTTTCCAATTAGAATTATATTTACCTGATGATTATCCAATGTGTGCACCAAAAGTTCGTTTTTTAACCAAGATTTATCATCCAAATATTGATAAATTAGGTAGAATTTGTTTAGATGTATTAAAAGATAACTGGTCGCCTGCCTTACAAATTAGAACTATATTATTGAGTATTCAAGCATTATTGGGTGCTCCAAATCCTGATGATCCTTTGGCTAATGATGTTGCTGATGATTGGAAGAAGGATGAACAGAAGGCTATTGAGGTTGCTAAACAATGGACAGCTCAATATGCTATAAAGAAAGAGTAGATTCTGTCGCTACAGAGAAAAATGATATGGGTTCGTGAATATATAGATATGATTGAATTTCCATTTTATAGTTTGCCTTGGAAGATTAAGGATAAGTGAAAGGCTTAGTAAGGGTAGACTTTTGCAGGGGATTTAAGAGAATGAAAGTTGAGGTTTCTGTGGAGACATGATGGAGGGTCAGTTATATTATCAGTTTTAACAAAAGTATTTTGTATGCATTAGAAGAGAACAAACAAATAAGTTGGTTGCTAGGTGGAACTGGTATAGTAAATGTGTACTATATCTGGTTTCAGCTGACGATAATTGCTTTAGCATGTTTAGGCGAATCAGCAATATGTACATTAGAAATTGGAATATCTGACCCTTTGATTACTAGAAGCTGAAAACTGATTCTTTTTTTCTCTGTTAATTCCTTGTGTATGGGGGTTTACATTATTTATTGCATCTTTTGATTAAGTGTGTTTAATAGTATAGATTGATATGCTTTTAATTCTACGAGAGAATATCGTTACTTTGAGTAATAACTAATTAATTAATTCCAATTACACTATAGTAGATCTCTTTGATTAAAACCCTCACCTTCTTTCGGTCTTTCTTGAGATATTTTTTTTTGGGTAAGAATGTACTCATTTTTTAGTAATGAAAACGGGGCTTAGATTCTGTCATCTAATATCGGCTTTGAAGATAACTCAACCGGACCGCTCTCTGGAGAGTAGTATTTATTTATTTAATCTTTGCAATCCAAAGGGTATTGGAGAGCCAAGATAGAAGGTAGTTTGTGTTACTCATTGTCAATTGTGGAGATGCATCTAAATAAGGCGGAGCATGAAACAGAATTCACAGTTCGACGCGTTTCCGTTTAGAAATTTATCGGCCTTTAGCACGGGAAACAAGACCCGGGTTTGCTGATGTATGTACACAGCATAATAGGACTTATTGATTCCATTGTGGGGGTGGCTAAGTGGGGGCAATGCAATGGAAGACTATATCCAATTGGCTGTATATTTGATATTGTTTCCATGGAGATTTGATTTATTATTCAATAAATAAGTTAATTCTCTTGCTTCCGTTCCGGATAGATTTTCACTCAGCCGAAATCAAAAATAAAGTTAATACGAAGAAAAAAAATAGACAGAGACGCGTGGAAGGAAGAGGGAGGAAGGAGTGAGGAAGGAAAGAACATTGGAAGGAAATGAAGGAAGAATAACGATTAGATCGATTTAGGGAAAGAACGACTACCTTACCCTATTCGCAATAATTAACATAATCTGATTCGGTAAGTTTTAGTTTTTATATCCGATCTTTCCATATTTGTAAACAATGGAATTTGTAATACTGAATAAAAAAAAAATTTTTTTGTCTGTTACCTTCTCTGTCTTTTTTTTTATTTTTATTTTTAATTACTTATTAAAATAAAAGTGTCTGCTGTCTCCAATTCAATGACAACGCTTCAATTTTTTCTTTCTTATCAAATTCATTTCATTTGAAGCATACATAGTTAGTTACTTCTGATATTCATTTTACATTCGACAGACAGAAAAAAGTTCAGACAGTCAGACATAAAGTAATAAGTTACAGTTACTACGTACTTTACAAAAAGTGAAAAAAGAAGAGGCACATCAATCTACAATTTTTTTTTTCAAAAGGACAGACAGACACACCACCTTAGAAACTATTTTGGTTGTAAATCATATGAGTCTTTAAGTGTGTTCTTTTTTTTTACAACAACAGACAAATCAGATATAAACATTAAACCCCTTCAGTCATGGCGAATGGAGACCTGAATATTCCCAAGAAGAGTCCATTCAATGGTGAGAATGATATTGATTCCATTGATGATGATAATTCATCAATATTAAAATCCCCAACAGTAGAAGAATTTGAATCTCATTATACAAAATTTCCAATTAACAACCATCAGCAACAACAACAACAACAGTATCTTCATCCACAACAACAACAGCATCGACAACAACAAAATATAGACGACGTGTTTTCTGATGAAGATTACGATTCAGTTCCTCCTACTCCAGTAATAGGAGTATCTAGATTTGATAGAGATAATAGAAATCATACAACGAGGAATCAAACGAACAATTCAAATACACCTCCGTCTACGGCAACATCAGACGCGGGAAATAATAATAGCGGTACTGGGAAGATAAAGTCCCCATTTTTAGATCAGAACAGCGTGGCATTTGATGATGATATCTTCCTACAGAAGCCCAAATCCCCATTCATGAAAGATGCTTTCGGTTTCGGTAATAACGATATCGCTGAAGAAACTGATGAAATTTCAAACAACGAGGATATTGACGCTTCACCATCAGCAACTAAAAGATTGAGATGGGGTACTACTCGTAATAAACATGGAAGACCTAAGAAGGAGAATGTGAGTAGATCAATGACTCTCAGACGAATACTCGATCCTCATAGACGAAAACATGGAAATAATTCATTAAGATTGAATTCATTTAGAAGACCAAATACACACTCAATTGATTTCCCAGAACGACATCATCATGAGGAATCAGATGTGGAAGAAACTGCAGACCTCGAAACTGCCGATCCTAAGAATAGACGTGAAGACAAGAGAACAATTGTTTTTAATAGAGAATTGCCTTCCGAATTCATCGATCCAGAGAGCGGGAAGCCTGATACGGATTATCCAAGAAATAAAATTAGAACAACTAAATATACACCATTATCATTCTTACCAAAAAACATTTTTAATCAATTTTATCATAATATTGCAAATGTTTATTTCCTTTTCATAATCATTTTAGGTGCATTTGAAATCTTTGGTGTTCCTTCGCCGGTATTGGCAGCAGTTCCATTAATTGTCATTGTTATCATTACCGCATTTAAAGATGCTGTTGAAGATTCAAGAAGAACTGTAACTGATTTAGAAGTTAACAATCAATTCACTCATATTTTATCTCAAATCGATCATAATAATACTACCTATCAATATATCAATCGTAATGTTAATGATGAAAAAATTTCATTATGGAGAAGATTCAAGAAAATGAACACCAGATTATTAGCTCGATTCTGGGGTGCTTCGAAACGAAATTTGACTAAAGAAGGTAGAGCTCAAAAGATTAGAGAAAGGTATAACCGAGAAAATGGAATTGACGACATGCAACAAGCAAGAAAATCATTTGATAGTGATATCGGAGAACAAAGTCCAAGGAACTCAATTGATGCAAATCCATTTAGTGATGCATTGAGAAAATCTTTCCAACAAAACCGTCGGGAATCAAGTATGCATCATCGTAGAACTAAAACCCTTAAATTTGTTAAGAAATACTGGAAGGATGTTAAAGTGGGTGATGTATTGCGTATTTATAACAATGATGAGATTCCTGCTGATTTGGTGATATTGGCTACAAGTGATGAAGATAATTGTTGTTATGTCGAAACTAAGAATCTTGATGGTGAAACCAATTTGAAAGTGAAACAAGCGTTGAAGTATTCGTCAATTGAGCAAAAGATCAATAAAGCTGATGATTTAATGGATCATTCTTTCCAAATTGATTCCGAGGGTCCACATCCAAATTTATATACCTATCAAGGTAACTTGAAGTATAGTAGTGCTAATGGAGAACAGGAATTACAAGAGCCAATAACAATTAACAATTTACTTTTACGTGGATGTTCATTAAGAAATACCAAATGGGTAGTTGGGGTTGTTGCATTTACTGGTGATGATACTAAAATTATGCTTAACGCTGGTATTACTCCTACCAAACAATCAAGAATCTCAAGAGAATTGAATTATTATGTTTTACTCAACTTTTTACTTTTGTTTATTATTTGTTTCTTATCGGGTTTAATTAATGGATTATATTATAGAACAACGGGTACTTCAAGAGATTTCTTTGAATTCGGTACTATTGCCAGTACTCCTTTTTTGAATGGATTTGTGGGATTCTTTGTTTCATTAATCTTATATCAAACTTTGGTTCCAATTTCGCTTTATATCACCATTGAAATCATCAAAACGGCACAAGTATTTTTCATTTATTCTGATATTGGATTATATTATCCCAAATTGGATTTTCCATGTACTCCCAAATCTTGGTCAATTTCAGATGATTTGGGACAAATTGAATATATCTTTAGTGATAAAACCGGAACGTTAACTCAAAACTTGATGGAATTTAAAAAATGTACAATTAATGGAGTTTCATATGGTCTTGCCTACACTGAAGCACTTGCCGGATTAAGAAAACGATTGGGAGTGGATGTTGATGCTGAAGCTACTGAACAACGGGAATTGATTAAGAAAGATAAAGAAAGAATGATTGATAAATTACATCAAATAACCAAGAATCAAACTTATGATGATGAAATCACGTTTGTATCTTCTGAATTCCTTGATGATTTAACTGGTGCAAAAGGTGCTGAACAACGAGCATGTAATGAACATTTCATGTTAGCTTTGGCACTTTGTCATTCTGTGATTACTGAACAAGATCCAAAAAACCAACGTAAGATGTTATTGAAAGCTCAATCTCCAGATGAAGCAGCATTGGTGGGTACTGCTAGATCATTAGGTTTTACATTCAAAGGTGCAACCAAGAAAGGATTATTAGTTGATGTACATGGAGTAACCAAAGAATATCAAGTATTAAACACTTTAGAATTCAATTCCACAAGAAAGAGAATGAGTTCAATTATCAAGATACCTCCAACTACACCATCAGGACAACCTAAAGCTCTTTTAATCTGTAAAGGGGCCGATTCTGTCATTTATTCCCGATTAAGTAAAACCGCCAATGATCCAAATTTATTAGAATCCACTTCTAAACATTTAGAAGAATACGCAACTGAAGGGTTACGTACCCTTTGTATTGCCATTCGTGAATTAAATTGGGATCAATATACTGCTTGGAATCAGAAGCATCAAATTGCAGCCTCTTCTTTAGATGATCGTGAAGCTGAAATGGAAGCTGTTGCTGATTCGATTGAACGTGAGTTGACCTTATTGGGTGGTACTGCTATTGAAGATAGGTTACAAGATGGTGTTCCTGATGCGATTTCAATCTTGGCGGAAGCTGGGATTAAATTATGGGTCTTGACTGGTGATAAAGTTGAAACTGCTATCAATATCGGGTTTTCTTGTAATTTATTAGGAAATGAAATGGAATTGTTAGTTCTCAAAACAGCATATAGTGAAGAAGATATGAATAATATGGATGGTGTTAACTTTAGTCCTGGTGCAAGTGAGCATTCAATTATTGATACGATGTTGACATACTATTTAGAAAAATATTTCCAAATGGTTGGATCATTTGAAGAACAAGAAGCTGCAGCTTTGGATCATAGTCCACCAGATGAAAGATTCGGGGTTGTTATTGATGGTGATGCATTGAAAATGGCCTTATTAGATCCTGACACCAAAAGAAAATTCTTATTATTATGTAAAAAGTGTCGTGCTGTTTTATGTTGTCGTGTTTCTCCGGCACAAAAAGCTGCGGTGGTTAAATTGGTTAAGGATACTTTAGATGTCATGACTTTAGCAATTGGTGATGGATCTAATGATGTGGCTATGATTCAAGCTGCTGATGTCGGTGTGGGTATTGCTGGTGAAGAAGGTAGACAAGCGGCTATGTCTTCAGATTATGCTCTTGGACAATTCAGATTTTTGGCTAGATTGTTGTTAACTCATGGACGTTGGTCTTATAAGAGATTCAGTGAGATGATTCCTAGTTTCTTTTATAAGAATGTTATTTTCAATATTGCATTGTTTTGGTATGGTATTTATAATGATTTTGATGGAACATATTTATTTGAATTCACTTATTTGATGTTTTATAATTTAGCATTCACTTCATTGCCAGTTATATTTTTAGGGATATTTGATCAAGATATTGAAGCCAAAGTTTCCTTGCTAGTTCCTCAAGTATATCGTAGTGGTATATTACGTACTGAATTCAATCAACGGAAATTCTGGTGGTATTGTGGTGATGGTATTTATCAATCATCAATCTCGTTCTTTTTCCCTTATTTGATGTTTGTTGTCTCGTTTGCTAATGAAAATGGTAAACCTTTTGATCATAGATTTTGGATGGGTATAGTTGTTACATGTATCGCATGTATTTCATGTAATTTATTCATTTTATTCCATCAATTCAGATGGGATTGGATCAGTTCTTTGATTGTTGGTATTTCCATCTTGATTATTTTCATTTGGACCGGATTATGGACTACCACTACATATAGTGGAGAATTTTATAAGGCTGCTCCACAAGTATTTGGTGCTGCGTCATTCTGGGCATGTGTTTTCGTTGGGGTTTTATGTTGTTTGATTCCTAGATTCTTTTATGATTTTGTTCAAAAGATTTTCTGGCCGAAAGATATTGATATTATTCGTGAATGTGTTGTTCGTGGAGATTTCGATGCTTATCCATTTGATTACGATCCAACTGATCCTGATCGAGTTAAGATTAGTGCATATTCTAATCAAGTCGTCAATCGTATGAGTATGAGTTCAGCTAGAAACCAAGACAATGGAAAGAGGGAGAAGTATAACAATCTGAATTATAATTCAAGTGATGAGAGGAATGATTGTGAAGTTTCATATATAGAAACACCACCAACACCAAAACCAACACCACCACCAGGACAAGAAGGAGATTATGGTTCGCCTTCAAAGAGAAAGAATATGATATTTAAGATGTTGAAGAAGGGAAGTGAAAGTACCACGAACTCAAGCAGTTTAGATAATTCAGCATCTAGTGTTATTACTGAAGAAATACCGATGCAAGATTTTTCTGACAATCAAAGACGAGCAGCAAGGATAAGTGAGGAGACTAGAAGAACGTCCCCACCATACCACAATAATTATCCGCCCACGTAACCAACAATAAACCATGGAGTGTTATAGACAAATGAATGTTACCTTTTGTATTTTTAGTTATTATAAGTTTTTATGTATTTTATAGACTTTTTTAGTTTTATGTATTATTTTTGCAATCTAGGAAGTTTGATTTTGCAACACCATATGTCCTTCCAATGTCGTGTGCGAGGATGTCTCGTCTCTCGGCAAAAACCGGTTTGAGGTCTTTTTTCTTTCACACACATCTATTGAAAAAAAAAATCTCAGAACAATCACCGGGGCAACAGACAGACAATTTAAAGTATTTCTTCAAAAAGAAACTTGACATCTAAATGCGTGGGCTCCAAACTGCATCGACAACAACTAATGCATAAAGGAATGAGACCCCTGACTTTGAGTGCGATGCTTAATAGTGGGAGATTCACAAAAAAAGGTGAAGCCAAATAGATGTGTGAAGTTTTAAAGATAAGAAAAAAGCGCGGCACCTCCAAGGTTGTAGTATGGGGTCTTTTTCTTTAGATTGTAACATGTTCGTAATATCTGACACTCAGTTTCACAACGCACAGGTACACACAACTCCAGATCACAAGATATTTGTAAAAAATCTCTGGGGTAATAAAAATAAAAGACGAGTTTAGGGTTTTGCAGTGAATGACGTTTTTCATTTTCTAAGGTCACCGGTTTTACAAACTTTTATGTCTGTCTGATTTGAATACCGGTTAGTTTTCTTTCGTTTTACGATGATTATGTGTAAGAGAATATGTGTGAAAAATAAATTTCGCAATTTAATTAGTCGCGATGTCTGTCTAAACTAAAAAAATAATTTATTAATAAATTCAATTTTTTACAACCGTGTACGCAAATTAACAATACCCTACTGGTACAATATTGAATCAGTGTGAGAAAAGTACTAGAACTGTTTGTACCCTGAGAGCTTCCTATTAACTTCGGTATCCAACTGATCTTGCGATGGCCTTTTTTGGGGAACTCAGGGTGACACCTACGTATTAAAAAGGTAATTTAGAGCCTTTTTTTAGATTATTTAGTTAGTTACCCGCCCGATTTCTTCCCTATGAATTTTTTTTTTCAGTGTGAAAATGCAACTCACAAAAATGTCGGCTGTGGACAAATCAAATTTGAGTATTTTAGTTTTTTGTGTCACCAATACGTTTTACTGTTGGAAAAATGTCCGATTGTTTTCCTCCATTAACATCCATACTTCAATACATTTTATGTTTGTTGTTCAGTCAAAAAAAAAAATTTTAATAATTTCTTTTTTTTTGTCAAAATAAATTTTTTTTTCAGTGAACAAATAAACACATTAAAAAAAAAAATTTTCATTGGGCGTTTAATATCCAAGTGTTATAAATAATCATTGAAATCCCGATAATTTGAGTTTTGTCTGGTTTCATTCTTCTTCTCTTTTTTTCTTTCTTTTCTCTTCTTTTCTTCTTTAAGTACTCGAGACCTCAGAATATATTCCAACAACAACAACAATTACAATGGATAACCAATTCTTAATTGATTTCTTAATGGGTGGTGTTTCCGCCGCCGTCTCTAAGACCGCCGCAGCTCCAATTGAAAGAGTTAAATTATTGATTCAAAATCAAGATGAAATGATCAAGCAAGGTAGATTAGCCAAGAGATACGGTGGTATCGTTGAATGTTTCAAGAGAACTGCCGCTGAAGAAGGTGTCGTTTCCTTCTGGAGAGGTAACACTGCTAATGTTATCAGATACTTCCCAACCCAAGCCTTAAACTTTGCTTTCAAGGATAAATTCAAGCAAATGTTCGGTTTCAAGAAATCTGAAGGTTACTGGCCATGGTTCGCTGGTAACTTAGCTTCCGGTGGTTTAGCCGGTGCTACCTCTTTAGCTTTCGTCTACTCTTTGGATTATGCCAGAACTAGATTAGCTAACGATGCTAAGTCCTCCAAGGGTGACGGTAAGAGAGAATTCAATGGTTTAGTTGATGTTTACAAGAAGACTTTAGCTTCTGATGGTATTGCTGGTTTATACAGAGGTTTCGGTCCATCTGTTATTGGTATTGTTGTTTACAGAGGTTTATACTTCGGTTTATATGATTCTTTAAAACCTGTTGTCTTAGTCGGTCCATTAGAAGGTTCTTTCTTAGCTTCTTTCTTATTAGGTTGGACTGTTACCACTGGTGCTTCTACTGCTTCTTACCCATTAGATACCGTTAGAAGAAGAATGATGATGACTTCTGGTCAAAAGGTTAAGTACGACGGTGCTTTCGACTGTTTCAGAAAGGTTGTTGCTGCTGAAGGTGTTGCTTCCTTATTCAAGGGTTGTGGTGCTAACATCTTAAGAGGTGTTGCCGGTGCCGGTGTTATCTCCTTATACGATCAATTACAAGTTATCGTTTTCGGTAAGAAGTTCAAGTAAACTAATTAATCTTGAAATCTGATTTATTTTTTTTAGAGATAGATTTTTGTTTCTTTAGTTTTACTTCTTGAAATAGTTTGTATATAATTTGGACAGTATATTTATTTACAAATAAAACTTTGTAATTTGCATTTAAACATATCATCTTAACCCTACCTCTAATCAGTGCCTGTATAGCCTAATTCCCTACTCTATGTAAATCTGTGTATCCCAAAAATTTCATGTTTTTTGAAAAAGGGGAAATTTCCAAAATTTCATGAAAAATTTCATTTTTGTGGACGATGATTCAAACGTTTCTAATTTTTTTTTTTTAAATTAATTTTAAATTAATTTTTATTTTTTGTCCGGATTATTTTTTTTTTAGCAAGCTCGGCCATTTACGGTTGACTTTATTGGTCCACAATTTGACTATATGCAGGGGGCTAAGTTTTAAAAAATTACAAATTTGCAGCCAAAACAAAGTTAAATGGCAAACCTTGGAATCAACTTATATTGATTTCTGAAGTCATGTTGGGCTCTGCGATACAAGTAGACTTGACAGGTTTCTTCATTTCTTAATAAATTATGATTTCCAACACTGCTTAGGAGTGGATTTGTTATTTTTCAAATTATTAGCACAGAATTTCATGAAAATTTCGCAGACTGGAGAAGAATGCTACACAGTTAGCTCGAATAAATAGAAACGACGATACATTTCAGAGACAATAGTTTCTCTAAAACATACAAAATAGAGACACATCAAATGATAAACTAAAAAATTAATTATTTGAAAAATAAACAAAAGTAAATAATTCTATAAAAAAAACTTAAACAAACTAAGCTATAAGTCATAGCGATAAACATATTTCGACCACCTCAAACACGGCCAATATGATCAATACGGATTTTATTCAAAGCGGCACAACTTTAAATCTTTTCAAAATTCAAATATAATAAATTATATTCATTTTTCAAATCATATAAAGCCTTTTCTTGCTTCTTATACCCCAAATCTCTCAATATCAATTCACCACCCAGTTTCAACATTGAGAAATTTTCTTCATCTTCCAACTCATTAATCAAAGTCATTGAGAATCGGCGAGGTTGAAAAATCTTCAAGATTCTAGTCACAACCGTCATAATATCGACTGGGGACAGATTGGAGAATGGATAATTCGTTTCAAATGAAGCATAACTCCACCCGGATTCCGGAGTAATATGAAGAGTGTAATAATATCCACCGGGAATATTTGAACAGATCGAATTGGATGAGAATCCACATGGTGTGAATGAGAATGCATCATGAATGAACTCATAATCACGATCATGAATCTTTGAGTGATCCATGGAATCAACAAGTGAATCAATATCCGATTGCTCTTGATCTGAACTATCAGATAAAGAAGGTGAAGGTAAATGAGTAGCATGTTTTCTTGAAGGTTCAAAAATCGAATCTAATCCTGATTCAGCCATAGTTTCAAGACCAACATCGTGACCTAAATCACTTTCATCAACACCACTTTTGATTAATGATTCAACCCCTGGTTTTCTTGAAGTATGGAATTTATGAGCCTTTTCGGGGTCGAGTTCAGTCATTAAGATTTCAAAGGTTTGATCCTGATCATGATGTAAATGACGACGAATATTGCCTACCATTGGACAACTAGGTTCTTCGCCACCTACAAAAAGATACCAATGGTCGTCACTGTCAAAGTTTCCGACAACGTATGATTTCCCATTGTTGAAATGTTGTTTTAATAATGAAACTTCACTCTTCCAATCACGATGAACATGGATTTGTTTGTCTGGGAACATAAATGATCTTCTTGAGTAGAAAATTTTGTAGATTTCTTTACTTGTCATAGCAATATTTAATTTATCACGGACAGTTTCAAACAATTCTTGTAAACAGGCTAAAGTAGTTGTTGTACCACAAGTTTTAAGAATCAATTTATGAGCAAACACAAATAATGAACTTTCACTTAATAAGTAAGCATCCATATATTTGGAAGATTTCATGGATAATACTTTACAACTAACCAAATCTAATAATTTGATCCAATTTTCTAAAGGAATACTTCTAAGCCCGTCGCTTGGAATAGAATTAGGTAATTGACCTTCGGACGACCAAAACCAGATTTCAAGTAATTTTTCCGGACCTTCGAAAGCAAAGGTTGAATCTAAATTGGCTGATAATTCATGGTCAACGTATGAATCTTGATAGTATGCAGGAGCAACCATAACCTTTTGATAATTAGCAGGAACTTTTATTTTTTTGTAATTGAATTCGATTATATGATCTTTTTTTAACAACAAAGCCTTTTAATATGATTATATAGTTTTGCTTTATTGGTGGGTTTATGTAGTTTTTTTATAGGATTTTTTTAATAGGATTTTCTGTAAGGTGGATTGGAACTTGCTCTTGTGTTTAAGGGTTTTGTTCTAAAAATTAATAATGCAAAATGAAACGAAGAGAGAAGTAGCAAGAAACGTTTCACAAGTGTTATTAATTATGGGATGGGGGTTGGTGATTTGCGGGGAGGATGGTATTGATGTTTTTTTTAGGATTTTTTTATACTTTTGGTGGATGATGGTTAGCGATGTCAGCAACTAATAAGGGAGCTAAGGGTGGATACTATTGATCTGAAAGTCACGATAGGCTTTTTTATTTAACTGAAAGGAATTTGAAACTAGTTACTGATGTGCAATTGAACTTGTTTCAATGGAAAATAAAGATAATGTGCGTTATCCAGGTTCGATTAATCTATTAATTGAATAAAGGTACAGTCGTGGCTCTTTCTTACGCATAAAATGCTTAGCAGGAGATGACAGTGGAATTAATAGGATTAATCAACGTTTCGAATAAATTTAAAACGGTTTGATTAATGCAAAAAATTGAAAAAATTTGTTCTCAAATCTAGCTTTCTAATTAAATGAAATTGATTTGAATAAGATTTGAATGGAGTGTTTAGTGGTAGCTATGTTAATCTCTAGGAGTGTGAATATTTAATACTCTTATAAGATGTCTGGAGAAGCAAGATAGAAGAAAGGAGAGTCAAAAATGCAAAAAAGTGAAAAATTTATTTCAAATTTTTTTTGTTGCTCCTTTGTTCGTCTTGGTTGAAATTTTTTTTTTCTTAATGCAATTGATTTTGTGTGTGGGATGCGGTTGTATGGTGAATCGGTGTAAATTTTACTACCAGGGCGGTCTTTTTTTTTGCATAGGCTAGCACTCAGGAGGCAATGCACTTTGCGCACGACTTGACAGTTTAATCGCCTTAAGGTGAAAATTTTTTTTCTGCTTTGTTTTCTTTATCACCCTGCATAGAAAATTTTAACTCAAATGTTAAAATCTGTTTTTTAGGTAGCGCCCCAGATTATAGGAGTAAGGAGAAGTCAGATGATTTACAAATTGTAATTAATAAATAATTTAATTTTAGAAGTTTTGGAGTTTAAGGATAGAGCCCTAAAAATTTCACAAGCCGCACACAACATACAACACACAAACTCCCATAAAACTCCAAAGGATTGAGGGGTATATGTAATATTATTAAACTATCTATTGCAAACAAATCTTCTCTATATATTATATCAAAATTATTAGTATCCTTAATAATAATAATAATAATAACCTATAACAAGCTAACAAAAGCAAAATCAATTAACAACTTTAAACACTAGAAACAATTTCACTTGCATTCTTCAAGACTTCAACCATTCTTAAACATTCCTTTCTCTTTTGAACTGTCATTTCATTCTCTTTAACCAAATCATCTAAATCAGGTGCATTATACATCTTTTCTAATAATTCTTTTTGAATTTCATCCTTTGATCTAACAATTAATTTCAACATAATAGCTTTTGGAACAACATCAGCAACTGTTCTCTTAACAATATTATAATAAGAAGAAATTAATAATTTAATAACTTCAGTTTCCATAGTTTCTCTTTCAGTCATAGTACCAGTAGCTCTTAATACTGGAGGTGGAGCTTCCATAGATTGTAATCTCTTCTTGTTTTTAGACGAAAAGAATCCACCAAAGAATCCATTAGCTGTCTCATCTTTAGCTCCTTGTTGTTGCTGTTGCTGCTGTTGTTGTAGTTGTTGTTGACTTGGTGGTAATGGTTTACCAGTCTTTGGATCAACTTGAACTTGTGGTTTTGGATGGAATTTTTCTTCAACAATTGCCATAGCTTGTGACCCCTTTAATAAATCAGGATGGGCAGTATTCACATAAGTTTCTTCAGCTCTAATAATATCACAAACAAATTCATTAGTTGGAATTAATGCATCTCTTAAGAATAAAATAAATTGTTGAGATAATAATTCTTTTAATGCTGGATAACGACTATATATTGGTTGACCAATGATTTGTGATAAGATTCTAACCAATTCATCAAAAATTAAATTAATACATCTAACAGATGGTTCTTCCATTCTATGGATTTGTTGTTTAACTAAAACTTCAAATGCTTGAGTACCAACAAATAATGAAGGGGCAGAACCAGAAGTATTATGCATAATTGTTCTAATATCAGCATCTCTAATTTGATCAAATGGATCTAAAGCTTGAATACCATTCTTGAAAATTTCATGGAAAACAAAAGAAATACGGGCACCACCAGTTAATTCTTGTGAACTTAATTCTCTAGATTCTCCATCTAAAATTCCAGTATAATCTTTAGTAAATTGAGTAATCATATTTAAAGCAATAGAAGCTGGTGATTCAGCCATTTCGGGCCCTAATAAACTTAATTCATGTTGATATTTCTTTAAGGAATGTTCAATTCTCATCTTAATATCAGGCAAAGTACCTTTAATATGATGCAATAAAATACCATTTAATTTCTTAGCTAAATATGGAGTACCACAGAATTGAGCTTTAGCTCTATAAGATGGATGATTTTCAAAGAATAATCTTTCATCTTTTAAAGCATCTCTAATTGTCTTTTTACTTTCAATATCCATTTGTCCTCTATTTATAACTGGGACATACCCAAACCTTAATGGAATAACTCTACCGGCTAAAATATCAATAACATCAGTACCTTCATCCATTAAATCAACTTTAGTTAAAACACCAATAGTTCTAGCACCTTCTGGATCAACTTCTCTTGCTAATTTTAACCCATCAGAATTTGCCAAATCAGTATTGGCGGCATTAACGGATAAAATAATTGCATTTGGTTTAGAAATAAATTTCATAATCATATCTTTAATTTGTCTTTCAATATCTTTTGGTTGATCCCCAACTGGAACTTTAGTTAAACCAGGTAAATCAACTAAAGTTAAAGTTAAAACATGAGGTGAATAAATTCTTAAATTAATTGGAACAGGAGAAATACCTAAATTCTTACCAGTCTTAGCATCAGTTTCTCTTACAATTTCATTTCTAATCTCTTCAAAATTATAAAATTTCTTATTTGGTAAATGTAAAAATTCACCCCATTCATCAGCATTATTTTCAGTTGCTTCACCATTTTCTTTAGTTGAATTAATTTCAATCAATTCATCACCACCTCTTTGATTCTTAGGAGTGGCCCTTCTATTAATCAATTGTAAAACTAATGGTCTTCTAGTGACAATACCAGTACCTCTAGGTAAGAAATCTCTACCGACAATATTTTCTAAAACTGACGATTTCCCACTTGATTGAGATCCAACTACGGTAATTTGTGGTAAATCAACTGGAGAAGATGAACCTCCCCCTAATGGAGCTAAAGCATCTTGTAACTTATTGATTGTTGCGATTAATCCCTCATCCATCTTTTAATGTATTGGTTGATTAGTGTTGATTGATTATAGATCTTTTTGACAACCAAAAATTGATTTGGTGTTTATCAAAAATTTATTGTCCGTCAGATTTGATTGTAGAGAAAACTTGTGACAATTTTACACGACTAACATAAAAAATAGTTGGTGGCAAATTACAATTTACCATCACACAACCCACAGCCTTCTTTTTGTAACTGAATATGATTACAGTGACATACTGGGAATAACAATGATGATAAAACAATAGAGACGGACAGAGTAGAGTGATTATAATTAAACTGATAGCAAGATTTTTCTTTCATTAAATTACATAAACATTAAAACTTAAATCTGGATGTTTTTTAAGTACTTCTTCAGTCATTTCCCAAGGCACACCAAATATTCCAGCATTAATCTTGGGCATATTGACAACATACTTTGAATCTTCATCAGTTTCAATTGCAACCTCTTTAGCCAACTCTTTTAACTGTTTTGATAATTCTGAAAGTGATTCATCTGTATATTGTGCAATTTCTTCGGGAGATTGAGAAAAATCACTAGTGAATAAACAACCAATATAGATCTTTGTATTCTTACCATCTGCAGTAGCTGGTATTAATAATGATTTACCTAATAGATTAGAATGTTTAACACAGTAATTGGAATATTCATCATTGGCATAGGGATACTTGTGACGGAAAACCGCGGCCACTCCGCCACCCCATATCCCTCCAGTATTACAGGCATGTGCTAATACAATTGCCTTGGTTGCATCAATTGCTTTATGGGTGAATAAATCACCTTTAATATATTTAATCATGCTTACTTTTTAATAAGGGGCTAATGGATGATGATGACGACCATCGAGAAAAGAAAAAGTATGGGGAACGAACTTTTCTATTGCGCACATCTACTTATAGAGAGATTCTAATATATTCTCCAGCAGAATTATGTTTAATTCCATTAAAGAAGAATCCAGCTTCTGCTCCACATCCAAATACATTTTCAAACACTTGCTCCGGTTTGGTGTTTTCATTATAACTCTTCTCTTCATATGTACTTTGTAAAGTAATTGCATTTTGATAATTCTCAATCGCATCATTCTTGACTTGATATCTATCTTCAGGAGTAACCATAAAGAACTGAATAGAACTTCCTGTAACCAATTTAGCTTCTGGTGATAAGACGATTGTATTTGCTTTCGCACCCCAACCACCACCTCCAGCAGTCACTTTATATCTCTCAATTGCATTAGAATTCGGCTTTTGGATCTTAACATATACTTCAGTCTCCTTTGAACCAATCGACATTAGACGATCATTTTTCTCTAAATAATGAGCAGCTGGGTTAGTATCCACTGTTTTCAACAAGTTTCCAATACATTTCGTAATCTTAAAACTTTGGTCTTCAGGATATAATGGGGTCCAATTATCTTCAACAATAACTTTGGCATTGTCAGATACGACTCCCTCGGGCAACCTAACATCCAATTCACATAAATGTTGTCCAGAATTTCCAGTCATATCTTTCAATGCCTTAGGTTGGAAATAATACATTGTAAGTATTGAACCAGTTGAAAATACAGTATTGGCAAGTTTTAAATCAATATTCATAGTTTGATTCAAATGAAGTTTTAAATTCGAATCAATATTCTTCCAATTCTTTCTGGCGGTAACAATATGAACCCCATCACTTTCTTTTGGTGGAGTATTTAAATCATCTCGTGCTTCTAATGGAATGGCCGATGTTATATCCATGGTATTTGTCATCCACATTTCGGAAACTCCATTTCTTTGGGAATTGGGGACTACACTGTCCACTCCAGCAATTACTAATTGTAGATCATTATTTTGATAGAGATCAATAGAGTTTTGTATAACTTGGGGTAGGTTAGATGGTGTTGAAAGTACTAGTACTGCCTGGGGGTTTATATGTGAAGGAATCTTCAATTGGAAATTAGTTGGATTTATCGTTGTTCACGTATAGAATTGATATTGAAACCTACTATTATGAAATAACCTTTTCACTAAGAATTGTCTTGTCATCGTTTATAAATTGATTCTATATACAAGAAGAAGATCTATTAATTAATTATTAAAAAAAATTTGTTCCTTAGAAATCTCATCGCGGATTTTAATTTTCAACTTCATCAATACTTCTCTTCTTTGTATTATGGTTTGATTCAGTTTGTCCTTGTTTATCTTTCTGTTCAGCTTGTAAAGCTTCATCTTTAGTACTGTCAGCTTCATTTTGTAATTCCTCTTGGTTCCTTAATTCAGCGTCACTTAATAATTGCTTCTCCTTTTCAAACAATGGCGCAAGCTTAGTCTCGACATCCTCGAACAACTTTTCTAATTCAATATCAGCTCCATTGCTTTCAAGGACTTTCTTAAGAACAGGACCCCAGATTCTTTGATCCTTTGAAAAATCTTCCATTTTAAATACGTTCTTACCCAATTCCCATTCGGATTGCTTTGTTCTGGCCAAAGCAACCATATATGCCGAAGATTCCAACGTACGTCCAATATCACTGATTAAACTTCTGATATAAGTACCAGAAGAAACATCTGCTTCGAAACTAAACATTGGGAGTTTTTCAGGTAATTCTGAATCTTCTTTTAACATTCTTGGTTTTCCCACTTCTTTTGGAAGACCTTCCCTTTCAGCTCTTTCAAGATATTGAGATGAGAAATATACTGGAGAATCATTTAATGTTGGATTATTCATTAATGCATGTTCTTTAGGTTCTCCATTTTCATCAAATTGACTTTCTAATTTCTTATATTCATGGTCAGTGCTTAACAAATCCTTATCAAATACTTCTAAAGAATGAATAGTTACATCTCTAACTTTAATATCTTTAGGTATTGGTAATCCTTTACGCGCATAATCATAAAGTGGCATTCCATCAACTTTTAGAGCGGAATAGATTGATGGAGTTTGTTTGACATCACCCACGAATCTTGCTGCCGCATTTTTAACATCTTCTTTAGTTATATGATCAATTTCATTCTGACTAACTATTTCACCTTCACTATCTCCTGTTGTCGTACAAAGTCCCAAGAGTGCTTTTGCAGCATAAGTCTTTTTACATTGTGCCAAATAATATTGTAATTTTTTGGTACCTGCCCCAACCCCAACCACTAATACACCTGTAGCTAATGGATCTAAAGTCCCGCCATGGCCAATCTTGACTTTTAATTTCTGTACTCTTTTTTGGATTCTTTCTTTCGACCATTTTTTATCACTTGATAAATCTTCAGCCATCTTTGATTTAGCCATGGTCAAATCACGTTGAAACACATCTGATTTAGTGAATATGTTCTGGAGAGTATCAAGCAAGCGGGCGGAAGTTATCCCAGAAGGTTTCTCTATTGCAAATACACCGTTCATATTCTTAGGTCTAAATCTGAACATATGTTGAACTTAAATGAAACAGGAGTATATCAAAGAAAGAAAGGAAATTTAGATTATATGATTTTTTTAGTTTTCCCGATAGTACTGAAAATCTCATCTCTTGTCATATTAAGAAAAAATATTTACTACCACAACAAATCATTTATAAAGAGATGTGTAATGAATGAATTAAAATATCTTTAAAATTTCTATAATAATAAAGCCTTGGGCTTTGGGATTTGAATGTCCAACTACAATCAGATAAAAGCGTTAGTAAAATTTTGAACAAATTTAATGTAAACAATGTTATGTTATACATACTGATAGATATCCTGAATATCTCGGGGAAATAATCTTTAAATCAATCTCTCGAGTTTCAAAACTTTTATTTGTATCATTTATGAAAGTTTCTAATTTATCTAATCTCCTTTTAGTAAATGATTTAATGCCAATTAAATTAGATACTTGAGAAAATAATCCACCAGTGAATATTTCTAATATATTCTCAAACAAAGTAATGGTTGAAAATGGATTAAATGCTTGATATAATAATTCATTAACTGTTATTACAATATCCTTCAATTCATTTTCATTAAGCAAACCATTGAGAATTGGAATTCTAGAAGATCTTCCAAAGTAATTATCATCATATAATCCCAATTCGTTGATTTGAGGATGTGGATCATGTATTGCACCTGGTTCCTGACCAGGAAAATACTCCGAAAATTGAGGAATTAAATCAGAATACTTGCGGGAATAATAACATCTTGGTATTCGTAGTATTCGAGTGTTCTTATATGACAATGACAGACTATCCGCGTATATATTTGGAAAATGATTTATAACTAGCTTTGCAGTAGACAAGGCACAACCAGAAGATGTTGTCGGCACTTCTAGAAATTCATGGTAGTTAAAGAAAATCAATTCAGGTACATCAGTATTCGAATGCCCGGATTCTACTTTGTGAAGTATTGGACTATTGCTATGTTCATAGTTGACTAAAGTAGCCATTTCTCTTTTGGAAGACTTGAATTTATCGAATAGAATATAATAAATGGAATCTGGTTTGTGGTTGTGATATCAATTTAATTAATCAGATTAGGTTACAATTGATTTTTAGGTTTGTAAATCTATCTAAGTTACCCGGATTCAAAAGATTTGTTCCAACAGCTGTTTTTTTTAATGAAAAGTGACAAAAAAAATCTTCATCTATCATCGAGTTCTTCTTCTTTTTCTTGAACTTCTTCTTCTTTTGCTTTAGAGTATTTCCCACTCTCTCTAATTTTACACTAAATTTTGAACGTTGTGTAAATGGTATGTAAGTCCTTTTAAGAAATCAAAACACATGTAATGATTAGCAAAGCTAAGTAAAGTATTTACAGTGATGAGACCGAGTCAAAGACTCTTAATGCTATTAAACCCAGCTCAGTTGATATTTTTGTTTATGATAATAATTTTTAAGATATCTGAACCATTAGATAGATTTGCTTAACTTACTAATCAGTGAAATGAATCATATAAAGATTTAACTAACAAAATGGTAAATTAGAAATAATTTTGGTATTGTCTCTTTGTTTGCGCTACCAACTATGCTATAGTTGTGGAAGTTATTACATTTTTTGAACTAGATCTCTATTTTATATAACTCGTTCTAATAAACAACAAATTCAAATAACTTTATGTTTTAAAAATTGTAGATAAATGCTCTTGTCTCGATGTTTACTTTTTATATAAATTCACCAATCAATAAGACTTGCTTTATTGCCTATGCAAATTTGAACATTTTACACGACTAATTAACTTAAGTTTTGGTTGAAAAATTTTTTTTAATGGATTTTTACAACAGTTTTGACAGTCCCACCAAGAAACGTTCATCCCAACTTGGTATTAGGAAAATGTTACCCTTAAGGCAAACCATCTCAAGGACACTCCCAAGACGTGTCTTGATCCAAATTGCCAAACCGACATCGGCATTTTATCGTTTCCAATCCACAATTACTTCCAATAATCAACTGCAACAACCAATCCCAGAAAAAGTTACCCATGATCCGAAAATTACCAATCCAGATAACAACAACTCAGATTTGGTCGCAGATGAAGGTGCAGGAAATGAGGTAAAAGGGGAACGAAGCTATTATATCCATCCAATTTTGAAAGAAATCGGTGATCAAGTTTCTCAAGCCATCAAATCGTCTTCAAAAGATTTGACAGAAGCTTACGAGGTTTTTGAAGAAGGTATCACCTACATTCGTGAAATTCACACCAAAGAACGTATCGGTCAAGCGGCAGTTGGTGAAGTCTACTTACCATTGGCAAGGGATCTTTTAATTAAGGCGCTCGAGCCTGGAGCTACCTTAGGTACCAAATCATTGGAAGATTTATTAACGGTTTTCGAAACCAACAAGATTGCCCACTCCACTCAATATTCAAGAATTGCTGCTCATTACCTTAAGGAAGGAGAATCTTTGGAAACATATAGCAAAATTTTGCAGTTATGGATTAGGTTTCTTGAGATCAAAGGTGTGTCAACGATATTTTTCGATGAAAATCGTATAGATCCTGTTTATGGTCATCGTGTACTTTCTGTATTGACCCAGTATGCATTTGCTTTGGCTTGCATTGAGGAAGGTAGCGAATATACAATCGATCGAGCAATGAAGTTGCTTCAAAGGGATACAGTTAACAGTTTATGGCACATGCGAAATGTCCTTCAGACTTTAGGTCTTTTCAATGAAGAGACCTTCAAAAGATACGCGGCTGTAGACGCAGACCAACAAAAAGCCAATTTTGATCCAAATACACGCCAGTTCCACAGAAGAATTGATGAAGCCATTCAGAAAGACGACCGAGCCGATATGAATAAAATGTTTCGTTTCATTCAGGAAGTAAGCTCGAAATATAAAACCGCTATTGATGAAAAAACTACAACTAAGCTAATGGAAGGATTCTTTCATTTAGAAGATCACACCCAAGTTTTCAACATATTTCAAGTATTGTTAAAATCATGTCCAAAACCGCCATTAGAAGCTTGGAATATTTTGTTGAAATCTTTCTCTACTCCAAAGGAAATTGCCAAGGCCCAAAACGACCAAGAAAAAAAACAATTTTTACAGAAATTTAACCGATTAGTTGAAACTGTCAAAAGTCAATATAAGAAATTAACTCCTGATACTTATGCGCTGATAATTTCTGGATATTCCAATTTTGGTAAATTCGACGAAGTAGACAAGTATGTTGAAGAACAAAAGGCGTCTGGTCTTCTGGGGATGAATAATATAGCAAAGGATGGGTATTTAGTTGGATTACTACACAACAACAAGATTAATGAAGCTGAAACAAAATTAGGCGAATTCACCAGTGATCGAAGTGGCTATGTCCCAGGAATCTTGGTGATGAACTCCTTCCTTGCTCATTATTCCAATGCTCAAAACTATAAGGCGGTTGATGGTATTCTCGCCTTTATGCAAAAACACAAGATCCCCGAAAATGCATATACTTTGACCACTGTCGTTGACAGGTATCTTAAACAGATGTACGAGAAGGGTCTTTCTCCTGACATGAATGAAGTCTTCAAATTGATAGAATCTGCCAAACTTCCTCGGTTGCCTGGTGCCATGTTTACCTCTATCCTTAAAGGATTGGCAGATAACCACAATGCTACCGGTGCCAGGGAATTATATAGTCTCTTATCCAAAGAATATCCCAATGATGCAGGTTTAATAACTGCAATGCTTGCGACTGAATTGCAACTAGGAGATACAAGACACGCTGACAGAATCTTCCAAGAAGCTAAGGAAAAGTTTCGTGATTCATCAAGAATTTACAACCAGATGATTAGAGCTTGCTTAGACAAAGATGAAAGGTTGGCTTGGGCATACTACGAAGCATTCAAGAATGAAAAAACAATCAAACCAAATAAGTACACTTACTTTTTCTTACTTGACCGTGCTTTCGGGAAAAGAGATGAAAAGAACATTGAAAGGATCCTTGCTGATTTAGAGGCGAACCCGTTGAAAGATTACGGGCATCTTCCACGACTTTTCTCAAAATTAATTCAGCTTGGGTACAGACTTCCTCCATCGGTCATGCAAACCATCGAAAAAGGCGCCATGTAAATAGACCAACTCCCTCATATTATTTAATTAGAATAATAATACTAAACATTCATTGTATATATACACGTACATAAATATACTCCCATTAAATAAAACTGGACGAAGAACCAAAATAATATGTCTCGCTATTTACAAAATTTCTCACTCTACTTAAGGTCATCGAATTCGCCCATAGCCCTCTTCCACAAAGGATAAGCCCAGTGTGTGAATCTATCAGAAGCGTTTCCGAAATTGTCCAATGCAGGACGAGTATCCAAAGTGAAAGCAGGCATTCCAGTTTCTTCATCATCGGGCGCAGAATAATAATCTATAACATATCTCACTTCTTGCCAATCTTTATTTCTACCTTGTGACCTCAAGACAGTCCAATCATGCCTATCGAACGGTGGTTCGGTATTAAATGTTTCCGGGAATAATTGACCTAACCATAAATACATTCTAGCTCTAGGAGACATATCATCAGGTCTACCAGTAAACTTTTTTAATCTAGGTTCAATTTTTGTTGTCTTGGTATATCTCAGTTCCCATTCTAAAATCTGTTGCCAAGCTGCTTCATTCAAGAAATTATGAATATCAACCATAGATTCAACAGCATCTTCGGGTATACCATCCCCTTTACCCTTCCTTAACATTGCATTTAACATTTGTTGAGGAGATGGATATTCCCATAAACCATGACTTTCAGTTTCACCTCTAGGGATAGAAGAGATGGTTCTTTGAGTGGATAATGTGATTCTTTGACCTGGAGCTTTTTCAGAAGAAAGAGACATAGGCATGTTATTTAAAGGATTTAAAGCTTCGTCGCTTCCTCTTGATCCTTTAACTGGACATGAGGAGCCAGAACTAAACTTCGAGTGATCTACGGGGCATCCGCCACCAGCGGAGGAAGATGCGTAACTTGAGGGAAAGCGAACTCATAGTAAAACACTTAGACGGGTCTTGGTTGGGTAGAAACAGCATATATGTGATCTTGCTAATGTGTATTAATAATCAACTTGTGGTAATTGGATTTTCAAATCCCATAAAAAATTTATAAAACTTAAAAAAGAAACTATTTGGTAATTTATACACGACTTTGTAGCGCGTGATTAGTGTCGTCCAAATCACTAGTGTCGAAACTGAGATGCAATGACG